ACGGAAGCAGTTGTCAAATTAATCACACATGCATTGGTGTTACAAATGTATTAGTATTGACTTAGCCAGGAATTGAACCTCAGACCTCTGTACTGCCACACCTGTGCTCTAACAACTGAGCTACACATGTGGTGACCGAGGGGGTCCTCAGCCAGGAATGTCAAGTTTTAAAAACAATTAAATGACGCTGCATAAAAAACTTATATGATTTACAGTAATTATTATTTCCCTTTTTTCGTGACAGGTCTGCGAGTATTTTCAAGACTTTGACCCACTCCGTGAGCACTCCATCCCTCGTAGTCAATTCACCATGGGCCTAACTGCCATGGGCCAACAGAACCTTACCAGGGAGGAGTCCAAGGCACTGTGTGATCTCTACACTCATCCACAGAAACCACTCCACGTCCAGTGGAAGAAGTTTGAAAAAGATATTGAAAGTGGTAAGCAGAAATTTCTTTTCCTTTAATACAAAAAAAGTTTGTAGCTTAAATGTCTAAGATGAGCTAGGGTAAGTAATCGTTTTTTTATCTTGTGGGATTGCTTAACCAGTTTGCGCCGGAGGCCGCATATACAAGCAAGTCGTTCATCTTATGTGTAAAGACCCTATTCAATTAGTTGTAGCTGGCCAGTTTGGCCTCGGTTTTAACTTTCTGGTGCAAAGTGTCCATGAGTGTCTAATTGACTTTCTTATCAATATGTCTCACTATAGTTTTTACCCAAGTGGAGCCTGATTTGGAGAAGACCCCCACCAGCCAAGTCCCTCCTTTAGAGTCCTTCCTGGTAGAGAAGCAAGGCACCATGGACTGGTCCCAGTCCACTCCGGAGCAAGCCGCTATCGTTGATCAGGCTATGGACCGCATGCGACAACGCAGCAATCAGCGTCGCATTCACTCCAAGCCGTGCTTCCAGGTAAGGGGGAAATCTTGATGAACACTTTAATCTTCTTTCTTTGCCGTGGCAAGTTGTAAGACCCCTGGCGCAGAGCGTCCTTACTGCAGATGACATAATGATGAATTAAGAAAGTGTCTGTTCATTTGTATCAAAGAGGGATAAAATTGTCCTCATCAGTGAAGATTTTTTCTATACGAGGCGACTGTATAAATTTAATTTCGGGATGCTATTTTGTGGCATTCTTGTATTGATAGGTACATGGATTTCTTACAAGATGGAATTATTCCGTCGAGGTGATGTCAATAATGGTTCAAGTTCCAGCTGAGTAGTTTGTAAATTTTTTTCTCACGATCACTCTGGACAACACTGAGCATACAGTGTTTACATAATATGTTGGAAGAAGATCATAACCCAATATTAAATTGTAATGCTAAAATAGCATCTCAAAGGGCTTTAGAATTATTGCCCCGTTCATCAGGCCACGAGGCAACGCGGCAGCTGATATCAGCGCACATTCGGTCCTCTACCCTCACAGGTACATACTCCTTGGTGGAGAGAGACAATTGTAGTTAAGTGTCTTGCCCAAGGGCACAAACACATTTCTGATTACTTCCATTTATCAATTTTGTTACTTCTCTGGTTTTCAGGACTACGATCTGCACAACATGGGCGTGGTCACCAAGCAGCAGTTCCGCCAGTGCCTGACCTTCCTGGGTCTCAATGCCTCCGAGACCGAGATGGAACTCCTGGAGCTCAAGTACGCCAACGCAATGGGCTTCAACTACCTCCGTTTCCTTGAGGACCTACAGCCCCGCGACAAGCAGGAGATGAAGTACACCCAGCGTCTGGAGGATCTGAGGCTGGTCAACTCTAAACATGTCTCTCTGGAGAAGAATCCGCTCTCAGACTTTGAGGAGATCATGAAGAAAATCAAAATTAAGGTACACACAACTCTCTCCCTCTTTGATTTTCTGTCTGGTTTCAAATTGAGCAAACTGAGTCTGGCTTTTGAGATTTTTTGATGCTGTTTTTAAGATGTTGTTTTATAAATTGCACACAACTTTTCATTCTTTTTCCTTTCCGTGAAAAAAAAATGTCTGGGAATTTACATATTTAAAGGATCATTTTTGGCTCAGAAATACGCTATAAACATAAGTAGCAGTTTTCCCTTTTGAGGAAACCGTAATTTCCCCACCAAAAATGAATAATCAAATAGTCGTTTTGTTTCATTAATTTGACCCCCAGGTCAGTCGAGAGAGGATCAGAGTGTTGGAATTCATCCGTGATTACGACAAACTCCGGACTGGCCGCACGCTCAAGACGACATTCCGCCGAGCCCTGGACCTGGCTCATCTGGAGTTGCAGGCCTCGGAAGTCGACATCCTTCAACAAGTGTGAGTGCAAAGCCCCTTCTTTCACTTCATCTTGATTTTTTTTTCTGACAAGCTCTATAAACGCTCTGAGTAAATTGTGCTGATATTACATAACCGAAGGGTAAAACCTTATTTAAATTTGACATCACTTTAACACTCCATTTTATCGAAAGTCATAAGTGTTTTACTTAACCCAAATCATCTGGACGACATCCAACAATAACAGAAATGCAAATGCCATTGAATTCTTTTCTATAGTTATGAGTACCCACGTGACCCAGCCTACGTGGAATACGTTCCGTTCTGTGATGAAATTGAGAGTATCTTCACCCTGAAGCACCTTGAGAAAGCCCCCCAGGTCAAGCCGATCCAGTTCAAGCCCCCGGTGGAGGTCGACCAGAACATCTTAGACAAAGACTCTGAGATCATCCTGCAGAGGACACTGGCTAGACTTGCCGAGCAGGTACTGACTGGTTCTTGTTTTAAAAAAGTAATTTAGGATTTGTCTCCAACTTAAGTTTCAGGAGATTTAAGACCTCTGTCGTTAGCAGAGTCCTCCTCTAAGAGGTTCATATCCCTCCCTACTTACAGTTGACTCTCGTTAAGTACTGTTAATACAAATTGTGGTTCTAGCAAACGTATAGCCTAATTGGTTCCGACTGTGCATTTATTTGCACAATGAATGGGACTGATGTTCCTCTTAATACAAAATTCTGATAAACCAAACACTTTGGCTAGTTCCAGCCAGGTTTGTACTTTATTCAACCTTATGTTCGTGAAAAGTGAACTCAGTCAGTTTCTCTCTGTGGTTCATCTGATCACTTTATTTTATTTTTACTTTGAATTCTTAAAATCCTCAGGTTAGGAAGTCCAACATGCAGATGTACACGCTGTTTGAGGACTACGACCGCGTGCACAACGGCACCGTGTCCCAATCTCAGTTCCGTCGCGTCCTGAGCGAGCTAGAGCTGGGCTCACTAGTCAACGAGACGGAATTCCAAGTGCTGTACAAGAAATTTGACGTGAAGGTGGGCGGGAAGGATGACATGAACTACATCGCCTTCTGTGACACCATCTACCAGATGGCAAAGATAGAGCTGTTTAGGCCTTAAGCAAATACCAATGTGTAGTTCACGTTACTTTTATTCTGTATATAGAGTCAGGGGGCATGAATCGGGGGAGGGGTTTTGTAGATAAGGGAGGAGGTACTTTTCGATGGAGTTTTTATGTATTTAAAGTTCTTCCATGAATTTTGTTCAAAAGCTAAGCAACTAAACGTTTAGTTTTACCCCACTGCAATTTAGGGAAACACTTCAAGACAGTTAAATACCTTTGTTTGCATTTAAGTCTTACCTTTTGTAAAAATGGGAGTTGATATTTTATTGTTGATGGTTGGTGTTTTTTTTTCTTGTCAAGTTAGATTTATTTCTTTAAGGTTGCTGAGCTCCAGATTTCTCTAAGTTTAATAAAAACAGATGTGTAAATGTTCAGAATATTTGTTAGTGGGAATGCTATCTTGACATTATGCGCAAGGTTTATTTTATATTTGTCTGGGTTGACTTTTCTTGTGGAGAGTCGAAATATCTTGAGCACACAAGAACAATGAATTAAAACTTAACTTTTGAAGAAAAGACGGGCCTTTATTGAAGTAATTAATATTTAACTCATGAGGCAGAGTATTTTTATGACGCTAAAAACCTGACTGACTGATTAATGTAATGGGCGAGCAGCCAACCACGTTTCAAGCATAATCCTCCAAATCAACTTAATTCAACACAAACTGTACCTAAACCATCAGCACTTTATGACATTATTGCAGTTACTAGGCCTTGGAAATTGTCATAAATTTGTTGCCGAATTAAAAATCCATTTCTTAAAATGACGATCCATTCACGTGATAAGTTTCTCACAGTCGTACCTTTCAATATTGAATAGTAAATGTACTTGATAATAGCTTTTTGTACTAATTTAGTGTTGAATTGACTTTGTACAAATATTAACGAATATGGCTTATAATAATCAAAAGTTCATGCAAACCAATAAACCCCACCGATAACCAAGTTTGTAAATAAATGTATTTCATGACAGATGTTTGTTGGAATTTGACATAATTATATGCACATGTACACGAAGGGTTTTTTCGGAAATAAAAAAGAGAATCCTTTAACATAATCGCGTGCATGAGGTTGAATCCCACTAAATGCCATTGTTTGGGGTATTTAAAAAAGTCTAGACTGGCTGGTTTGTATGCCCTATTATGTGGCTGCAGTATATCACTCTGCACAATTCATCAAAGTTTGTTTGATTGAATGTGGGCCCTCGGCCCGGGGTCGTCGAGGGTTGTTGCGTACTTTGGGTTTTCCCCCGATGTCGCAATGCGTGTTCCATAATATCTCCTTGCTGTTTAATAAATTCTATTGGGGTTTTTTCTGATACATTTTCAACTTGTATATGTTTTATTCCAACCAAAAACCTCTTTCCCCCCTGAAAACTTCTACATGTGCAAAAGTAATTACGTGCGGTAATTCGGGAGTCGAGGGCAGGGCTTAGGGTCATAAACACCGACATTCTTCGGCTTCAATTTTCTCGGCTGACTGCTCTTTAAATTTTTGCCCCAAAGTAAAATAACTATTAAGCCTATGTTATGTCTCCGCAAATTTGAACCCGGGGGGCACCAAAGTTTGTTTACCCATAGGTCCTAGCTCTATGGTTTTCCGATCAAGGCCGGTATTGCGTGCTCTGGGTTTCCCTGCAATGTCGCAACACCTTAAAGTTGTGGAGTTTTCTTCTTGATACATTTTCAAGTTGTAAAAAGTTGAAGGTTCTGTACAACCGAAAGGCTTTTTTTCTGAAGACTTTACACTTACAGGGGTGATTATAAAAAGCGACATTCTTTGGCGCGATTTTTTTCGTCTACTTTTGCAATGAGCGTCGATGGTTGGTTGATGGTCTCCGGGCAGCGCGCATATCGGAGCTGTGACCCGGTGTATAAAAACAGACGCGCGGGCCGCACTTCCCCAGTTACTAGAACGGAGTACACCTACAGCACCTCGAGAGTTGAAGCCGTCTTGCCGGTGGGGAGCACGCACCGCACGCACCTAACGCACCGCATCACCGCGGTGTTCAAGTTGTTGCTACTATAGGCAGAGAATGTACATGTACAGTACATGTACATGCATATGTAGAACTACGTGTATATTATAAGCCATAGAGACAGGACACAGCCTCGGACTAAAGCGAATCAAACTCCTTCAACTTGCCCTTGGACCGAGACGACGGAAAACACTTGCGGCGAAAGTACAATTCACTTCGATTGTTTTTGCGAGTCAGGATATCGAGTCACTAGTCACCGTAGTGAGAACTGTTTCACAGATTCTGAACTGTTTCATTGCTCATTTTGGGTCGGTTCTTTGGACATAACCGTTTCATCCGGAGACGAGGACTGGTATGTAACTTTTATTTCATGTTAATTTGGACCAAATTTGAAATGTCTTAATGAGGATCGATACCCTTTAATCACTGACTTACTAAACGAGTCGTATAAGTTTGCCCGTATGTTCATACCGCAAGATGTTTTGCTTTTTTTTTAGAGCTGTGTCTATTTCACATTTCGTTTATCTTTAACTACAGGTCCTCAGCCCAAAAATTAACGTAATCCTTGTATGCAATTTGCATCTCCGAACACATACATCACATGATTTACAGCCCCACAATTCGGCGCTTCCATTAATTTTGCACCAATTTCATCGATCAAGAAATAGATGGTTTCATTAATTTTGAAACTGGACCTGAACAAATAGTGCACCTGATATAATATTTTAATGAAAATCTGTGTGCGCCTAGGCCACTTAAGAAAAATTTAGGCAAACTTAACAAGTAATTCCATTTCATCAACTGACATTTTATTATCATTTATTAATTTGATATCCAACAGTGCAGAGCCACCATTTACAGATGTCATAAAAAAATGCAATTAAACAAATATATATGGCACAAAAACACAAAAAAGTGAAATCCTGTTACGGGTTACGGTTAAAACCCGAATGATAATAAACTCGATACTCGGTACAATTTCACGGCATGCGTGCATGACTGTACGACTGGTGCACTGCGTTACAAATCTTGCGGTGTACCAGTGTAGTACACGACTCCATTACGACGTACTGAAACTAAACGGGGAAATTATGCGACGCCAACAACCATCATGCAGCGGTACATTCAACAAGAAACGGCGTGTTAAACAACACGAGAAGACGCTGTGCGGTGCAACAGGGCCAAATTTCACGGCGCTGCTTAACAGTTAGCAGAAAAGTTGTGTTTAGCATAGCAGAAAAATTAAGCACTATTTCGCGGCGTGTGTGTGCTAACGGTCGCGCGTGCATGGAGATTTCTATTGTTACGTCACTAAGTTAAGAAAAAAATTCCTCTGAGCTAAGCATGCGTTTTGCTGTGCTTATGCTTGCGGTATCCATGAAATAGACGGAGACTCTGTTAGCAGAAAATCGTGTGCTTAGCAGCGCCGTGAAATTGGGCCAAGCTAGACACGCATGCGGTGCTATAAACGATAGGACGTCCGGTGCAACACGACACGACGTGCAGTGCATGCAACACGGCACGATGCCGGTGCAATACGACACCACGTCCTGTGCAACACGACACGGCGTTCGTTGCAACACGTCATGACCCGCGGTGTTAACGTAGACACGACTTTCGGTGCATGCAACCCGTCGGCACGGCGTGCGGTGCAACCCAAGTTTCGTCTGGCTTCGTCCTACTCGGGCAAAGTTCACCATTTTTCGGGTCGTAGCGTTCCTGATCTTCATCCGCCACGCCTGCGGAGGGGGGGGGGGTTGCTTGTGGCATGGGAAGGCCACTTCGGCCGGATCGAAGCCGTCTTTCACTCTGCGCCTCGGGAACTCGCACTGCGGTCTCCGACTCGTGGACCCGATGACTGAATTCTTGGTCCGTATTTCAACCCGGTCCGCCAAACCAGCCTCGGCCCGCCGTCATGGGCACCCACTATATACGAGCCTTGCCACAACCTACTCTTAAGCTTTACATTTGTGTGGGACTGCCGACCCGCCGGCTTGATGCTGGGCCGGCCCGGAATGCACGGGGGCCCAGTGTTACAGTGCCGCATTGTGGCCGACGCTCATCAGAGCCCATAAAAGGCGTTGGTTGATACAGACAGCGGGATGGTGGCCTTGAGTCGGAATCCGCCAAGGAGTACAACACACCTGCCGAATCAACTAGCCCTGAAATGGATGGCGCGGAGCGTGCCGCCCATACCCAGCAGTCGGGGCAGAGAGCGCGGACCACCAGGTGGTACGCCCTGACGAGTAGCAGGGCCCCAACGAGTACGAGGGCCCGACGAGTAGCGGGGCCCTGACGAGTACGAGGGCCGCCACCGCGGTGCACGTCGAAGCGCCGGCCGCTAGCCCTCGTTGAGCCGCCGTGGGCGCAGATCTTGGTGGTACATGTAGTAGTACATGTTCAAGTGAGATCCACGAGGACCGAGTGTCGGAGAAGGGTTTCATGTGAACAGCAGTTGTACATGGGTCAATCGATCCCCGGTCGAAAGGGGAATCGGCAAAAACGACGTGGGATGCAACCACAGACGTGAGGTGCAACCCGTCGGCACGAGGTGCAGTGCATGCGACGGCGCGACGTGCGGTGCAACCAGAAGGCCCGACGTTTAACGTTATGGTGCAACCACAAGCACGTCGTGTTTCTAAAAAAAATATCATTGATCTACATGACGCCCCCCCCCCCCATGAAATGTTCCAGCCCCCCCCCCCCCCACACTGAAAAATGCCTGGCTACGCCATTGGCAACCACAAGGGACGACGCGCGTTGCAAGGCTGAATGGACCAACGTTAGGGCAGCTTTCGTTGAATCCACTGAAGATTTTTTTCGGGTACTGGCAGAGGAGCTAAGACGAGCTTGAGAGGATAAGTCATCGGACAATGCACGACAAAAAGCTTCAAACCCCAGCAACTCTGGAGGCATCCCCTGTTGACAGGGGATGTGTATATACGCATCGTATACAATGACACTTGGAGCTGGAGGGTCATTATGAGGATGAAAGAAATTTGCTTATTATATCTATCTATCTTTAAGCTTCCCCTGCGATGCTCCGTTTTACTCTGTTGACATCTAAGAAAGGAGCCAACAGGATATAAACAACCTTTGTGATTTCAGCTGTTGTTATTCACATTTGTTTGTTGGAATACAGTTGATGAACTGGTTTGATGCAGGCTCCTCCATATTCTGTTCTTGCTAAAAACAATCCAAGTTTTAAAGGGCCGCTAGACTCGTTACACGCCAAAGGGAACACGATTAGAAATCCCTGCAGCAAGGGTTGGGCCTGACGGATACAACTACTGCCTAGATGATTATGTCTACATGTCACAGATGTTAGCTGCGTGCATGTACTGTTTATGAATACGTTTGGTTGAGCTTCATCTCTTTCAGGCTGGTAACTGACAATACCTTGATGTCTTTAGTAGTTCAACCACGTACAATGGATGAGTCGTCGGCAATTAACTTTTTAGCACAGTTACATTTACAGACCCATCTTCTAGATTGTTTCTCTTTTTTGCCAAATTGAACAGCTTCCCTTTGACTCTGGTTCTGAGGGGCCACGTACGAACCCCCTACCCTTCCTTTCCCAAAAGACGGGCAGGAGTAAAAACGACTGCTTTTTCAAATCAAATATCAGATCTAAGCTCTACTTCCCTTTTCTCTTCTCTTCTCTCCCCCCCCCCCCCTTCAGCCACTGACCAATATTAAGAAACTTGTAACATGCATGCCAAAAATAAAAACATTTTGAATGCAACAGTTCCTAACTTTGACTCTCTCAAGAGTGCAGGAGAATTGTCATTCTGGATTTAAACATGTTCCCAGTGCAGGCCTCAGGACACCCCCTCCCCCAGCAAGGCGCCTTCATTACGCCTTCGGCGTGCTTTCAAGGACATCCCCACTGCCCTCACTTTTAACCCACCCCACCTGTAGATACCCCCCCGTTTTCTTCCTGAAAGCTGGATCCGCACATGCGCCCCTCCCCTTACAAAAAAGCTTCTGGATCAGCAGCGGGCCAGCCCCGGTGTGTTCATACACTACCTTTAGGTGCCAAAACAGTTTATTTTGGAACCCTTTATCCACAGATTGTTGGACGTAAGAGAGATGGAGACCAGCAGCAGCAGATCAGGCAGTCGAACGAGGCACACTGAAAAAGGTGATTTTTCATAATATATTACCTTTCATCAAAAGACGGAATTACGTGACATCACACTTCCTTATCTCTCACTCAATTTGGCGGAACGGTTATCCTGCGAAAAGGCTGAAGCTAGCTGCAGTGGTGGGAACTGCGCGCGTATTGCGCGACATTATACGAACGGCATTTTTTTCTGTGTGCATAAAAAGACGTCTTCGCATGACCGTCAAAGGGCCGTCGGAAGTGCGTGAATGTCCCTCCCAGTGGTCTCGGCAAGTTTGTCTTTCAAAAATTCGACTGCGTATAATCGTGGCTGTGATTGGAGCCCAACGTTAGTCTAATTGGAAGTTACGTTAGCGTCAATGCTGCCGTGTGTTTCGTTGTGCTCCATTCGGCTCGACATCTCGATCGCGAAAGGCATGACGCTGCGAGATCGTATCCGTAGGAACGATTATACAGTCAGATATCGGTCGCGTGCAAGTCGCGCGTGAAGTGTAGATCCCTGACGATCAACGTTGGATGCCGGCCCGCCGCAAGCTGTGATTGTTGCAGTGCTGTGGCATGACCGATCCGCTTTCACTTGCGTACGTTTTGACGTCCCGTTTGACAAAGCTCGGTGTCTTTATCCCCGGTGTCTTTATCCCCCGCTGTCGCTCCCGTCCAAATAGTGCGTTCACAATATCTACCCTTTTGGACACGACAAGTGGCTCCAGTTGCATTTCGGCACTTTGCAGCCTACGTATCTGATCCTGAAAGTGCTTAATTTTATTTCGCTTTTGGGCGCAAGTTATAATCTAAGGATATACAATGGCTCAGAAGGAGATGAGCCCCAGTTCTTGCACGACACACCTCGCTTTATAAAGATTTGCGGGTTTCTTTGTCATTTTGCAGAGTGCAGAGTTGAAGTGGACAAGGATTCAACCTTTGCCAAGGATGTCCTCAAGCACCTTGCTGACCCCTTGCCGTACAGGCATCTGGACTGGGAAAGGAGGTGGAAGCTCCACGCAGTCACACAGGTCAATGATGACAGTGCTCAGCGGAGGTTCAAAGACAAGAAACTCCAACTTGAACGGGAGCGATCAAATAAGCAATCTGAGTGTTTCGCATTCGGACTTACGGAGTGGCAGTACGAGGCCAACCGTATCTGCGATGGAGACATCAGATACCAGAAGTTGGATTGTCCACTTGGTAGAGTGGGCCAAGGAATCAACGCTTGCCTTTATCCAGCTGTTCTTCTTCAGTGGGCAGAAGAGAAGAACTTCAAGCAGCCGTGTATCATCGTCTACAAGGTGCATCACTTTGGATGTCTTGAATTATTAGATACCTATGACAAGACAGACTGACCAACCTTGACATGTGCTAGGGATCTGCTCATTTTCTCTGAGCTGAGACTTATTTAGGGTATTCCTAAAAAAAATATCAATTTCAATGTATTTTAATTCTTGAATTTTCTTTTGACAGGTCGCGAAAGGTCATGGCAGGGTAGTCCCTGCAAGATCTTCACGGGAAATTCCATTTTCGGAACCATCGAGAGAAGTGGATCATTTCATTTCTGCCGGCATGCCAGACTCTCGTGAACCAACCAGCAAGCAGCTGAGTAAATCACAGGTACATAATTCTCGGTCTTTTTTGTTAGACTCATCCTAAAGTGGCCATATAACCGCTGACCTTAGCTCTAATGGCGGCTTCATTGCGTTAAGTCAAAACACAGGTTATTAAAACTAACACGAACCGTTCTTCATTAACGAGGACTGAGCTGCATTTTGTCGGTGAGTTTGGGCTCAGTTGAGGTTTTGAAGGGACCTGAAGAAAACCTGTTTTGCTCATTTTGATGAGTTTCGTCATTTCCTTAACTTTATGATTCAGGCAAAATCTTCCAGATTTGGTAAGTACTGCCCAGCATGCACTGCCTTATAGCTGCATGCGGTCGCAATGGGTTAGATGGCTCAAAGACACCGGAGCATTTCAGACGATCCAGGGGTTGACGGGACATTGGGTTTTGTGAATTCAGCAATTTTGGATCCGAAGATTGAAAGCAACCAATCGTATCAATCTTCATCATGTTTCAGATCTACCTGTTTGAGTTTGACGAGCAGTCACGTTTACGTAAGCCGCCAAGACACTGCCTGCCGTATGCAGTTGTTTCTCTGACACTCAGAGAACTGACAACCAGTCCATCGCCAAACGCCGGCACCGTGCCACCTGTCAGATCAACAGGGACATCGAGACAGGACACGGGTCGGGAGAAGAGCAAACACCGACGGAGAAGATCAGACAAACGGGAGAGACACTCCACCTCACTGGGTGCCAGTTCCAAAACTGCCGTGCAGCCAAGACCCCCACCAACCTCATCAGTCGGTGAAACTCGTAAACAGTCTTCCTCCATTGAGAGGTTCAACTCGTCCTCAAAAAACTGCATCGCTGAAACTTCCGATGGAATCGATGACAGCAGCTCAGTAGCAGCATCAACGACCGGAACGAGTCATTTGGAGTTAGAACAACCAGGCACTTCAAGAAATGAGTCTGCAAGATGCCTCCCGATTGGGAGAGAATCCACTCTAGAGCAGTTGAGAGAAGAAACACGCCAGAGGGAAGAGAAGCTGCGATCGTTGCAAATTGAAAGGACGAACAACGCGATGCTAGGTTTCGGGATAACATCAGAGCCTCACCAATCACTACCCAATGCTTCTCAGGCATCCCCGCCTAAAAGTACAAGCTTTGCAAAAGACACCAGAGTGGTTTTACGAGCAGAGCAATATAACAAACCAATCCGAAAGCGGGCTGTTAAAGATGGAGAAGGTTCATTTAATTTGGAGCCTACTAAAATCCGTCGCTTTAACAAAGACAGTGACTTCATCCCAGACGGTACTAACAGCTCCTTGAATGATTCAACCTGCGATCTGGCATTCACTGGCAATTCTTACAAAGTCGGGAAGGCATCACCCGCAGAATTAGTCGCAGACCCTGACTCCGAGGCCATAGAGAACATTGTGCCCGGTGCGGATAAAATGGAGATGCATGATATAGACGGTGATGAGTGTTCATGGCCTGAGCCATATCAACAACAGCCTTATCTAGCACAGAATTTAAACGAAGCATCAAACCAAAGGAACGTTCTTGTCACCCCTCTAAACCTGAACGAGGCACATTTCAATATATCTGGTGAACCTGTTACCTACTCAAATATTAACCATTCACCTGACCAAACGAGTGTTGTACCTGCTACCTGGTCAAACGTAACAGAGACAGGTGAGATGAATGCTCAGCCTGTAACCTGGTCAAACTTTGAAGATCTCAGTCACGTCCAGCTATCCCAAGTAAATACGCCGTCAATCGGGACGTACAACGTCTCTTCCTGTGGTGATGACACTGGCGTGGAAACTAACACCTCAGCTTTCCCACCTACTTATAATTATGCCAATGACTTTAGGCAGAAGCTGGAGCAGAGGATGACTCCTGAAGCAGTGGAATTGGTTATGAACGATCCGAATTTCGTGCAAGATGTAACCGCTTTTCGTAATGATCATTACAGCCCAGCAGCCCCACTTGTCAACATGGACGCTCCTGTTTCGCCGCCTGACGAAGATCAGAGGGACATAAACGAGGACCTCATTGGTACAGAGGTCGCACGCTATTTGTCACTCGTTCGCCAGCAGTCAGCTCCGTCTTCAGATGGAAAACCTGGAAATGAAAATTTCCAATCAGGTGTATCTCCCGATGACAATCAAGGGCTGGAGCTTACCAGCCAACCTCATCCAGTCGATCCAAGGCCTGCATTGTCTGCATTAGGGAGGAAGATAGAGGTGAACCTCAAGCGTGTTTCGTGGAGCGTTGACAAGTTTACGGTATCAGAAAGTAGACACTTATTTTCATTTTCCTTCTCAAAGGAAGGCCGTAAGACAAGACGCGACAGCGTTAAGGATCCGAAACGCAAAGATACGTCCACACCATAGCTATATTAAATGATGATGGATGTGCCCGGCATCACCGAGTCAACGCTCTAGTAATTTAATATGGCCCCATATGGTTCCCACCGATATCCCAAATGAACAATAATCTTGATAACTCCGCAGTATACCTAATTAAGACATATTTTTCTTTTCATTTTTCACCACGAAAGGCACAGAAACTAGCCCCCAAAATGTAATCACAAATGGTGTAGGCATAAGGCCGATGTACGATGACTTCCAAAAAAATCGGGAAATCGACGCGGTGGACTAGTGACTGTCGTCATGTTTACCGTGTGCCACGCTACATGACCGGCCGAGGCTGCGATGTCAAACACGGCATGGCATCACACATCACGACGGTGAGAGGCTTAGACCACGTGTAGCGGAATGTAAAAATGGAAGAGTGAAGGCTCTTTTTAGCGCGCGGTTTTTACGGAGGCGGAAGTTCTACGTGACCTTAGAAACTGAGATAAACTGCTTCTAGTTGAACTTGCTATACTTAAAACGATGTCTGGACGCTCGGTAGTTTTTTTTTACGACGGGCCTCCCGTGGTGAGCGACCTTTTTAACTTTTACCGTTTTAGCTAACACGGTGTCTGAACATGGCCAATGACATCACGATTTGTCAGTTTATAATTGGACTTTCCTATTATGGAAGCGCTCCAGCTGGCGGGGCCGAGATGATCAACCAATCTCCCATAGGCAAGCGCACATGTGAACAAAGTGTGCCCTCATTAATTATGTCTGAGGTCTACATGCTTGCAAGGTTGGAGATTCATTATAGGGAAAGACCATGGGTCAAGCAAAAATACTTTTCAAAATGCTTTAAATGCTGTCCGCTGGCATACTCTATAGTTGTGAGGGTTTGACATGTTTTTAGAAAGAAGAGTGTAGATTTTAAATATCCATGGTCAGATTTTCAATTGGTCATGCATTTCTTTCAATGAAGTGATATCTTACCACAAATCACTGCCTCTCTCCTTTGTTAAACCACTAAAACGCAGTAAATGTACGTTGTTTCAATTTCAGATCTCCTTCACATACATTTTGTACATAATATAAGTTTTATAACATGCTTTTGGAAACATGAAGTGCAGGATTCTATACTATCCGTGGTCAGATTTTAAAAATTGTATTCTTTTAACGGGAGAGGGTTCTTACCGCTAGTCACAAACGTGCTAATTATGAGGTCAGTGTTTTTAACAAGCGAAACAATGTACAAAAGTTCAATTTCACTTCCTTTGTCAATACATGTATAATCACATGAGTATAATACAGGTGTACATAGAGTTTGAATATACATGTACATGTATTATTCAGTTTTGCCCTTTAAATAATTAATTTGTTTAGTATCTATCAAAACAAATACGACTTGTGGCTAAGGTTTAAATGAAAAGCTGTAGAAATATTCAGCTAGCTATAAGTTTATTAAATCTTGTTCATGCAGGGTGAGTAAAAAAACACGAAACCCAAACCCCCCAAAATATATTTTATACTTAAAAAAATGTTGCTTACAAACATCATAATGACTGGTAAGCCAAGCTTATGAAATTGGCTTTCCACCCTGTTCGACTTGTGGCTAAGGTTAAAATGAAAAAGGTGTAGAAATATACAGATAGCTATAGTTTATTCAATCTCGTTCATTATACTTGCGAAATTGTAAACGTTTGTAACCTTGGGTTTCATATTTAAAGAAAAAAAAGGGGGAAATTTGTTGAGAGCACGCTTATTTTCTTTTCTCAAATCTGGCATCTTCTGTTGGGACTCTCATTTTGTTTGAACAATCGAATCGTATTTTGTCTGTTTTCCACTATCAGACGTCATCGTCTGCCATGGGTTGAGGTCTATTTTATGAATCTATAATTTAAATCATTATTTTTACTAGTCAACATAACCCGGCAGCTATAATAGGTCATGACAGACGCTGACCGACTAAGATTAACTAAATGTGGTTTATTCTGATAACATAATGCCCTCCGCTTCCGTTGCATACCTATCTGTTCAGACTCCCCCCCCCCCCCATGTTTGTGATTTTAACACACCCCTGTATACTCGTACAATACGTTTATCTGTAGATGTTAAAATTATACAAGCTGATCATTTTAGATTTAGATGGACTAGGTTAGAATGCATTTCACAACTGTAGAAAGTTGTTGCTATAATGAAGGCTTAAATGTAAACATAGCAAGGTTATTAAATTACATGTAGTTTGTAATTAGTGTTCCATTATGTGTGCCTTTGTTTGACCATGGTTTGACTTTTAACTTGATCGCAGTTGCCAATTACCACTTTAATTAAACAGTTTATTTCCGGTAGTCGTTGTCTTGGGGTTTGAAAGTGTCTTTCACAAAAGTAAATTTGTGGGGGGATTAAAACGAAGAGTAATCTTGATGGCTTTTTTTTTTATGAAACTGCAGCACTTGCGGTGGCCTACAGATTTTTGGAAATGTTGTTTGGTCCGCCCTTGGTACCCCTTGAAAAACCAAGGGCGGATCCAGAACACAATATTTTTTGGGTGGGGGAGAAATTGTGTCCCCCCTAAAGTGGGTCCAACAAATTACGGCGTGGGGTTCGGGCCCGCTTAAGGGCCCCGAAATTTGTTTGCATTCTAGATGCTCTGTGGTGCGATCTGAGGCAATTTCTAACCATTTTAACCAATTTGTTTTGAGGAAAAGATTTGTTTTGAGGTACGCAGTGCCTGCCTTTATTGCGGCGTCACTCAAAGAAAAAATTGGTTCTTTTTTTTTTTGGGGGGGGGGTGGCCCCGTTGCCCCCGCCTCCGGATCCGCCCTTGTACAAAAACATGCTCCCCCACCAGCACTGAAAATTCCTAAGTCCATAATTACGAGTTCCTTATTTTCCTGAGATAAAAGTAAAAAAAAAAAAAAAAACCTCTACACCCCTTTTTTTACAAACACCACAAATCAAACACAATACATTCCAACGGTTTCCGTCGCCTTTGACTTTTGGACATTGGACCCAAATGACAGGTGGCCCTATACTTTCGCGCCATTTCCTAGTCACGTGAATATTCCGAGGTCCTGCAGTTTAATAATGCCCATCTTTTTTTTTTTAACAAACCAACAGTGGTTGAAGGGTTATTCCATATAATGTTTGGGGACGGTGGGTGAATTGTGGGTTCGATTTATTCATATCTCGTTGGTCATACTATAACCCGCTCGGCAGGAGTATGGACAAGGCTTATATAGAAAGACAGAAAGGGGTAAATTTGTATACATGTACTTGAGCTGATTTGGTTTAATCGCAATTCGGTTGGCTGTGAATGATGTTCTCTATCTGATTCCCAGATTCTACGGGGTTTACATTTCTTATAATCAATCATATTTATCGGCCGGGTCTATTGCCCTATTAGGAATTGTTCACTAAATTAATGGTCCACTTGGGTCTTGGAGTAAAGGGCAAGACGGCAAATTATGATTGGTTTACCATATAAGTCCGTGGGTTGACTGATTCACTCTGGCCCCAGTCCAGTCCACCAGTCCACCCACGCGAGGGGGGCCTTACTTTTGTGCTGATACTAGCCATTCCTAAGATGTGTCTCATTACCAGGAAAATGGTCCTGTTCATTAACCCGTACAAGACTACAGTTTAATGGATGGTTTAGTTTGTTGATTTACAACATGCAAGAACACCCCCTCGCAGACAATCGTACAGTCGCGCAAAGAAAATCTTTCATATAACGCGCTGATTGGCTGAAATATTATCGATCGTCTGCTATGTTGTGCGCGAGGATTATTCACATGCACAGAAAGATAATGGAAGAGGGCGCGGAATTTTGTTACCAAACAACGGCGGTGCTATTGTATTGCACGCGCTACGCGTAATGTATTTGTACAGTGTGCATGCACATGCTCATGTAACATGAAATGCGGCAGCATAGCACAGCACTTGAGTAGAATTCTCAAAGTCGAGCTAGTTTGCTGCCTTGAAAATGCATCAAAACAGCCAGAAAATCGGGTTTGCCAGTAACAGCCTCTGCACTCAGTAAGACAACTGGTAGTTGGCAGCATGGAGCAAGGCATCTTATTCATATAAAACCTGTAGTAAAGGTGAGATTTAGAATTATTTTCCGAATCATGAAAAGCAAAGGAATCATAAGGAAAGGTAAGGCTTAAGTATGGTGAAACTCGTTGCAGTGAAGCCAGGTTCAGACCTTCGTCGACTGTGTTGCTGGACCCCACATCGTTTCAAACTAAGGTGAGTTCATGAGTTTTTTTTATAATTTCTATAAAAAAAAAACTTGGGCCTGCAAATCCCAAATGGCCGGATTCAAACCCTGCTCAACATTTCTCGTACCACGAAATCGAAGACTTCAAAGTTGGGAAGGTCATGTGGGGTGATTCGTGGTGGATGGATAGGCACCACGCATCGTACCCCGCACACAGGCCCACGAGAATAGTCTGAAATACTTGAAGAAGGGATCAACAGATAAGACCACGCTGGACGAGCATGTGAACGGGTATTGGCGGGATGACCGCATGGCTTCACCGCATGCATGCGTGGCACCGAGCAAGGTAGCCCGACTGCGTCTGGCCGTACAGTACTATCGCAAGCTCTGTAGTACGGCCAGACGCTGAATGCTTCCAAAAAGACTGAATTTTTTTGGCCGCTGATGTAGCGAGTTTGCTACATCTTTTGATCGAGATTATCTTTTCATCCAGGACAAACATTTCCACAGTTAAGGTTCTTAGTCGTAGAGCAACTCATACCTTTTCGAAAAAACGTTCTTTGGTCTCAATATTTTCATCCATCTGGCCAAAAGACGACTTTCAGTCATCATCTTCCACAAATATCGTCCCAAAAATGCTCCCCCATGCGATTTCAAAATGGCGGCCGCGCTGTAGCTCATGAATATGCATAAAGAGTCTGTGACGTATGACCTCGTGTTTTTGGACGTGCGTGCGGCGGCGCCGTACGTACATGTACGTACATGTACATTACTTGTAGACAACAGCCCAGTACGTGCATGCACACGTACGTCCGCGCGGCGGTGTGCATGCACGTACTGGGCTGTTGTCTACAAGTAATGTACATGTACATATGTACGTACGGCGCCGCCGCACGCACGTCCAAAAACACGAGGTCATACGTCACAGACTGTGTATGCATATTCATGAGTTACAGCGCGGCCGCCATTTTGAAATCGCATGGGGGAGCATTTTCGGGACGATATTTGTGGAAGATGATGACTGAAAGTCGTCTTTTGGCCAGATGGATGAAAGTATTGAGACCAAAGAACGTTTTTTCGAAAAGGTATGAGTTGCTCTAACGACTAAGAACCTTAACTGTGGAAATGTTTGTCCTGGATGAAAAGATAATCTCGATCAAAAGATGTAGCAAAATCGCTACATCAGCGGCCAAAAAAATTCAGTCTTTTTGGAAGCATTCAGCGTCTGGCCGTACTACAGAGCTTGCGATAGTACTGTACGGCCAGACGCAGTCGGGCTACGAGCAAGGCCGCCCCGGGATCGCCGTGCTCTCCCCGACGACTCGCGACGAGGCTGAACGAGCCAAGCACGGCTCGATCACCAGCAGTACCGGGCCGAATGTGCCGGTGGCCTTGAGCCAGCAAGGAATAGAATCACAATCCCGAAACTGCACAATATGCAGTGCAACAGCAAAATGTGGTCATGTATGACTATGCATATGATTAAATGAAAGGAAATAATGACACTGAACTGAGACGAAGCACAAGTGAAATGTGCCTATTCAACAATGAGGATTGAGGAGCCTATTTTGAGCATTCAGAGCAATATGAAAACCTAACATTGTAAGGTGAGTTTCATGTACATGTGTTGTACAGTGTGCAACATGTACATGGGCGTCGCCGGGATTTTTTCTAGAGTGGGGCAAACAAAATGTTTGCCAAAAAATGCTTGTATTTCTCAATACATTCTCGATTTATCAGTTTTAGAGGGGGGCAGGGACATTTTTGCCCTCCCCCCCCCCAACTCATTAAATTTACACCACTTTGTCTTCGCGCCTTTTTGTTTTGTTTTGTTTTTTTCTTTTCGGGGGGGGGGGCAAGTGCCCCCCCCCCCCCCCCCCTCGCGACGCCCATGATCATGTACATGTAGATGGACATTTTTAAAAGCGCATTTTGGAGTCGAGTGGTGCCTGTGCTGTGCTGGGGTTCTCACAGTCACAGTTCCCATTCAAAAAGAAGGAGCCAGTCCAATTACCATTTATAATTGGGGTGATTAAGAAGGACCATCACTCATATAAAGGAAGCTTCCAAGCTGAGTGATGTTCCTGTAGGAGCTTATCCGCTATGTCAATCAAGATCAAGACCCCAAAGCTGACAATGGTTGCTAGGGAACTCTTTATAAAGCACATATGTAAAGCACTGTTTAATCATTGAGCAATGATGCCCTTATCATGGAGAAATGAACACTCTTTTTCAGTGGGTCGTTAAGTAAACCTATACTACATAACAATACATAAATGAACAATGCAGAGTGGAGCTAAAGCCGGGATGATTGATTCCCCCACCATGAGAGTCTAAATGATCAGGGACCAGAACCTTTCAATAAGCCCAGATGAAGCATCCCCTGATTAGGCTAGGAGGATTTATTTCTGTGGGTGGTGAAGCACAAAAGGTATTGCATCATGCATGAACAAAATGCGGTGCATTGGAGCTGGATTGCCATCACTGTCGAAAAGGTCAGGGACCAAAACTAATTTCTATGTAATTCATTAATTATCACAATCACATAGACAAAGTATTCCCTGATATTATGAGGATTTATTTGTGAGGGGTGGCCAAGCTACAATCCCGGCCATAATGGTTGAGACACTTCTGAGCCTGCCACGGTCACCCGCTCCCCCACTCCCCTGGTCAATGTTGGTCTTTCCAGCTGATGGAGCACACACCGTGCAATGAGAGACAACATTGAAGGGGGGGGGGCAGCGAGATTTGGCCAGGATTGTAGTAAACAGATACATTGTACAGTACATACATTGTACAGTACATGTACATGAGCAATGTGGTGCACTGGAGCTAGACCAGAACCATTCCATGTACATGTACATGTAGGCACTATGCACATGTAGGCACTATGCACATGTAGACATTATGTACATGTACATGTATATAATTAATCATCACAGTGAATGTGCAGCTTTGTGATCTCCATGTATTTACTGGGCACTCTCTGTTGTCGGCCATAATGTATACAGGTACCAGGAGCAATCAATACATGTACATGTACTGGCAACAATGGGACGTACAACAGCAAAAGGTGGCATGAATATTTAACATATACATGTACACTATTTTGTACATAATGTAAAAGTACATGTACACATGTTAAAAAACATTTCATGAAGAGATGTCGTATGGTTTAACTGAAAACATGACAAAAACTCCCCATCAAAACATGAAGGGGGGGGGGAGACAGAATTAACTTGAAACAAGTTGATAAATTGACTCATGTGACATCGGAAGTGTCAGCTCAAAACTGGAAGAGTTAACATTCAACACTTGAAATTCCGGGAATCAACTTGAAACAAGTTGAAAAGTGAACTCATTTGTCACCAGAAGAGTCAGCTCAAAAAGTGAAAGAATTATTGATTAACTGGGAAAACTTTACTCAAAACTAAAAATGTATTGTCAAAAAGAAATGTTAAAAAGGACACACGTAAAAGGCTGCTGGTTAAAATATGTGCACTTGCTATAAAAAAAGGACACTAGTTTTCCAAAAAGGGCACTCTTTACAAATATAGGCCTACATTGGGGATGTTCATGTAAACGCTTGTGTACAAAGGGCGCTTATACAAAAGGGAAGTAATGTTTACAAAATGTTGGGTGGGTAATAACCACCTGGCCTCCCCCCCCCCCCCCCCCCCACACTCGCTTTTTTTTTCAAGATCATACCGTAACTGGCTAGTACGTACATGTACTTGGAAGTTGGGCGCTCAGTTGCAAAAATGTCTTTGTCCCATTTATTAACATTCCTATAGGTCACATTTTTTACCAAACACCTCAGTGCTATAAATACGTTCAGAGCTATATTCTTAGTCCAAGACTGAATAGGAATTTTTATTCCCCTATTTTGCAGCCAGTCCTGTCCGTTGCCAAAGTGCTGGAGGGCTCTATCATCAAGATGAATCAATCAATTTCACTTGCGCTCTGATAGGTACATTTGCATGTAAGGTACATGTATGCTTGGAGCTTCCTGAGTAGCGCTGCCAATATTGCCAAGACTGGGTTTGATTCATCTTGTTGATAGCGACCTCGCTTGTCACTTATCACGGACTGCTGTTAAAGGGGAATGAAATCAAAATCCAGGCTTGTGCCAGGACTAGTTCAGAACCTGTTGCTCCATAGAGCAAGGACCTTGCTCTATGGTTGCTCCAAGCTTGTTTTGTCTGGAAAGGTGACCTCGAGATTGATTTATCACAGTGGTCAACTATGAAATGCAAAAAGAAGCCTACATGTATTAAACAATGTAGGCCAGTACAAAACAATATGTTCATTGGTGGTAATGGTCTTGGAAAAATAAGCTGGAAAGATAAAAGCCTGGGTTGAATAATTTTTCGCCAAAGCATGACGCATGTTTTCAGTTTTCATTATAGTGAATGTTTTGTCTGGATATTTTTATGAGGTTGCACACTCTCATTAAAATGCCATTATGTTGTTTGTACTGCCCTATGTAAAAAAAAAATTGAACTACAATTGTACGTGTACATGGGATGAAATGGATGAAGAAAATTGTACAAATGAGGAATGGAACTACATGGGGGCCCAAGGGAATGTATTGGCTATCTCCCTTCAAAGTGCACATGGAAGTCTGGTTAATTTTGTTTTTACCAATTTGGGACTGTACATTTATAAAAACGTACATGTACATCCCCCTACAAAATAGTGATTGTGTTCTACAATGTGAAAGTCAGAATGCATATAATATACATGTCTTTTGCTCTTTATCTATAGCTGTAAAAAGTCGAGCAAGATGGATCAGAAAACTGGATCCGAGGAACGCTTCAATACATATGCTTCAAGAAGATTCGCCATTCCAAAGGTCCAGAGGTGTCCAAGTCAAGGTATATATTTCCTTTCCGCATTATGGGTACTGTGAAAGCATGTTAATCTAGAAATTCAAAATTGAGCAAGCATTATTTAGCTTGATTTTATCAAATAGTTGCCTGCAATTCTTGCGCTAAGGCTGCTTTTGTCTTTTTTTTCTGGTAGAAAGTGAGGAATCTGCACAAATGAAGTACGTTGATATACATGTATATTTAATTTGTCAATTTTTCCTCCTCAGGATGCAGACATGTTCTAGAACCAGGGTCAAGACAAGCCAAGGACATCCAGAGACTTGTCAACACACAAGTTCTTGATGAACAGTTAAAATTGGAGGAGAGGTGGTGCGTGGATAAGGTCTGCCTTGTCTTGAATGAGAAGCTGCAACAGGGCTTCTTCAGAAAGAAGCAAGAACTCAAACAAGAACTCACTAAGGAACCTTTAGAGTCCTTTGCGTTTGGGCTGACGCAGTGGGAGCATGAAGCTGATGCTGTTTGCGGCAGTGGAGACTTCAGCTGTCAGAGCTTGAATGTACCACTAGGCAGTGTTGACCAAGGGGTCAATGTGTTCTTGTACTCGGACGTTGTACTTCAGTGGGCTGAAAAGAAGGGCTTCAGGCATCCGTGCATGCTTATCTATAAGGTGTGTGAAACTTGATATTTCTTACTCTTCGTGGGAAGGCTCTTGCTGAATATGGGCTACATGTGCTAACGAGAGAGGGCGCTTTTTTAACACTTTTGAGAGACATGAACTTGTCAGATATCTTTCCACGAACAATTTAAATTCCTTCGTACCACACACGCATGCACTAAACAATAAAAGACTGTCCACTGTGAAATCACTCTCCGAAGTTTTCAGGGATGAATCAAGCTCCAGGAAGGTCCCATTTTCAACTATAGCTTGAAACTGAAACGACATGTACATGTATTTTTTGGCTGGAGGATCATCAATTATAAAAAATATATATATGGTACAACCTTTAAAACGTCATTGATAAGACATTCACTGTATTAATCAACCATTTGCAACACCTGTGAAAGCAGTTTTGTTTTGTTCTGCTTATGGTCTAGATACTAAAGGGACGGACTAAGACGGTGACCAAAAGGATGTCAACGAGAGAGCCCGCATTGGAGCCTACGCCTAATGCTGAATGCCATATCTCCAGCAGCAAACCCAGCACCAGTGAGCCAATCTTCAGACAGCTTAGTAAATCACAGGTAAAATGCAAAGGATTATGCACTGCTGGTATTGGACGATCCAGCATGACATTAAAGCTGCAAGAGATTTACCTGGTTGAAAACTTGAAATCATGCAACTTTGATTTTGCACTTGATAATCTATTTGTCCTTGTTTTTTATGGTGTCCATAACATGATGGACAACAGTGTTGTAGTCAAGTGCATCATAGTAGTCCTTTTCGTATGTCCAGTCACAAGTAACAGGATGAACAATAACAAAGGAATATGTCACAGTTCATTTGAATAGTTGGTGACTTGACTGAAAGACTTGTGATGGACCTGCAGGGACATGTTGGAACTTGTGATGGACTCGATTACAACACTGATGGAGAGTGAACTTCCGTTACATTGACAACTGGCCCATCAAGTATTTTCTTTCAATGAAGAATCATTAGATTACAGTTCCGTGTTGCAATCTGAAAGGAAAGTAATGGAATTAAACGTCAAGAAAAGTCATTGAATGAGTGCTTTTATATATTTCAGATTTTCCTGTTTGAGTATGATGAAGAGGCTCTTCCAAGCAAGCGCCCACGGCACTGTCTTCCGTATGCCACCATCACATTTGCATCAAGAGTTTCTGAGACCACCCAACCACTGAATGGAGATGCCTTCTCATGCACACGGACAGCTTCATCCGAAGGCTCATCAGAACAGGAAGGACATGCAGCTGTGCCGTCACATGTGAGAGAGACTGTAGTACCTGAACGACTGGAACGAAAAAGAAAAGCTGATGTGTCTGGATGTTCACCTCTTGCCAGACCACCAAGAACTAAGACTCATCTAGGATCCTTGGCATTGAATTCAGTTGACATTTGTGTCACATCAACAGGGGACAAAGATAAGATGTGCCAATCACATGCAAGGCCATTTGCCAAAAGTGTAGATGTAGGTGAAAAAGAAAACAAAGTTCGGAAAATGTCTGAGAACCCTGAGGAAAAACATAGGACTGAGATCCAGCCAACATGTGGCCGAATGAACTTATCGGATCGGTTTTCAAATTTCAAACCAAGTCAAACCAAATTAGATGACCCAAGGCTAGAGGAGATGAGACAAAAGCATCTCAAGGCCCTTGAGAAACTAAAGGCAGTAAGGACAGATCGGATCAACAATGCCCTGCTTGGATTTGGATCATCATCTGAAGATGAAACATTTGCGACCATTGAAAGTGAACAGTTAACTGACTTGCCTAAAATCACCCCACCGTCTCTCAAGTCCGCTCCTGTCACAAAGGATCCACCCCAAAGAAACGCACCGGAAAGGAACAGTAACGAGAGAAAATCGGTACATTCGGAGTCCAGTCAGAACACAACAGAGTCTAGTTTGGGAAGGTTGAAAATAACTGTCACTAACTCAAAAAAATCAATTGAAACTAGACGTATTGAAAAAACGGGAAATCCAACACCTCCGTCAAAGCAGGAGAAAGGAAAGGACAAATTACAAGGCAAACAGAGACAAAAAGGCCCCATCAGTAAACTATCGGTACCAGTGAGTTTACAAGATGACCGCGGATCAACTGCCAAATGCACCAAGAGTGACGCACATCATGTTCAAAGGGATCAGCGTCACATAAAGGGTTATAGGCCTTTTGATAGTAACCAGTCCAGGACAGGAGGAAGATCTCAATCACCAAAAATACCGGTACATGTACCAGTGTCACGTGAAACCTATGGAGATAATCGAAAATTGAGCAAGGCATCGCCTAGCCAATCAAAGACAGGAGGAAGATCTCAATCACCAAAAATACATGTACCAGTGTCACGTGAAACCTATGGAGATGATCGAAAATTGAGCAAGTCATCACCTAGCCAGGAGTTTGATTGCTGTCATTGTGATAGACGTTCTCCTGCCACTGAAAAGTCTCGAGATGGAGGTTATTTTCGAGAAAGAAAGTATTTCCCACGTGGGGGCTTTTCTCAAGATAAAGGCTATGGAAAAGAAAAAGCTTTTCTCCTGGTACGGCATTTTCTCGAGGTAGAGGATTTTCTGGCGGTAGAGGAGTTTCTCGTGGGAGAGGAGTTTCTCGTGGGAGAGGAGTTTCTCGTGGGAGAGGAGTTTCTCAGGGGAGAGGAGTTTCTCACGAGAGAGAAGTTTCTCACGGGAGAGGGGTTTCTCGTGGGAGAGAAGTTCCTCAAGGCAGAGGATTTCCTCGAGGCAGAGGATTTTCTCGTGGCAGAGGATTTTCCCGAGGCAGAGGATATTCTCGAGGTAGAGGAGTTTCTCGCGGGAGAGGATTTTCTCAAGGAAGAGCTAGAGGCAAGGTTCGATATCACTGTCCCAAATATTTTGAATCTGATGATACCTCTCATGTTTTTGAAGTAGAGGAAGAAATATACAAGGCAGCATCATCTAAGATGGAAGAACCAGGGCAGTTCAGAGATCACTCACCTGCTAAGAAGTATGCAGAAGGTGCTTCATCGTTAGGGAATTCGCCAAGCGGTGAAGGAATCCAAGAGAGTAGCAAATCACAGGAGTGCAGACAAGCACCTTACATACGGCTTCAAAGTAAAGAGTATGACCCCATAAAAGATAGGGACTATACCTCAAGTGCCTCATCTGAACAGACCTTTACAATTCCATCACCAGAGAATCTCATGATTGCTGCTGCACGTGATCCAGTCATTGATTTTGACTTGGCTGCCTTTCAAGAGACTATTAACAGTGATTTGACAGCGTACCGAAGTTCATTGGGTCTGGAAGAAATTTCTTCAAGTGATTCAGGTCCCAGTCCTGTAAAAGAGTCTGAAGTCGCTAGAGATAACTTGGAAGTGCAAGATATGGAAATTGATGAGTCGTCAAGAGAAACCTTGTACAGAGGGTCCTTATCACATTGGGAAGGTTCAGGTGCATGTGTCGGTCAAACCTGCAACATCCCTTTATCAGGAGCTGTAGAACAAACCAACAGGCCTCACAATGTAACAACTTTCGTGGGCATCAGCTCAGGTGGAATTCCTATCACTTACAGACCTCCATTGTATCAAAATGAAGGGATAAATGCTGCACACAACAGTGGAATGACATCAGTAATCACCTCTGCTCCTGTACAAGAAGCTATAAAGATACTCCAACAGCAAATATTGGAGGCATCGACTTCAGATCAAAGGAGAGTTCTTCAACTTGCTTTGGAGAACTTTGTCCAAAAGTGTACTTCTGAGAGAAATGAAAGTAACCCTGTTACTATTTTTGACCACAGAAACAGGGAAACCTTGTTAGTGCCTCAAGGACAGAGAAATGAAATGGTTTCAACATACATGAATGATGAGCACATTCTCGAAGGAGTGGCAGAGTGTCTCGATCACAATGAAGTAGGTCAGGAGCAGGCAACTCAAAGCTCTTGCCTTGCACAGGGATCATCAAATGAAGAAAGAGCTAATGCTACGGTCAAACAGAAAACAAAATCCAAGCAGCTGTTTTATGGTCGACCCCTGATAATGAAAGGAGAGCCGCACGAGATACTCATGGAAAACATGCCTGGTCAAAACAAACCAGTTGATCCAAGAGCTGCTTTGTCGGCCCAGTTTGGTAGGAAGTTTGAAGTAAATTTGAACACACTATCATGGAGTTGTGACTTTGAAAATTCAAAACCGTCTGTTGAGGATCCTGTGAATGTTAAAACTGAAAGTGGTCTGCTCAGAAAGAAAGAGGAAAGCACAGTGAGTAATAACGACCCAAGAGTCAAGAAGCAGAAGCTAGTAAGCCAGACAACAACTTGTTCAACCACCCTACCTCAGCCAGCTTGTTCAGACACCAAAAGGACATCGAAAGAGAATGAGGATGTTGTTAAGTTGAAGCAAGCTGTGAAAGCTGTTCAAGACGGCTCCAACAGTCCTACTACGCAGTTCTTACAAAAGCTGCAACATGTGAGCAACCTAAACATAGCTGCCACAAGACCAGACCCTTCAAGTGACACTTCTGTTTCAAAAGAATCTGCATCTTCCAGTGATGAAGCTTTAACAAAAGGACCGTGCAGCACAGGCCAAAGAGAATCAAAAGTACAAGACAACAAGGCTTTAATGGACACTAACTCAAAGCAAACATCTTTTTCAGGGACACAAGAAAAGTCTAGGAAGCCAAGTGGAGGAACATCCAGATCAAGAAGATACAGTAATAGCAGTAGCTGCAGTGTGAAATCCTCCACGAGTTGGTCCTCCAAGAGTAGCCGTGAATCGGAACCTTACAAAGGGTTATCACCTTTTGGAAGTGGAAGTGATATATCCCCAAATAGAAGTAGATCACAACAGAGAAGCCAGTCACATCGGAGCAGATCTCCACATAGCAGGAGATCCCCACAAAAGAAAACGCGGTCACCGTATAGGACTAGCCATTCACATTACAGTAGATCATCAAGGCACCGGCATAGCTCATCTCAACAGCGGAGTAGATCACGTTCATCAAGCCGTGGTAGAGGCTACCACCAAAAGACGTCCCCTAGAGATGATTATGATCAGCGTAAAAAATCTAACGAGGAATGTCGCTCTAGTTCAAAAATCACCAGTGAACCTTCTCATGGACTTGTTGATGACAATGCTGTTGATGATCTATTTGGTATCTCTTCAAAATTATCTGCTTTGCGTCACTCGGCCAATAAAGCCACGAGGAAAATGTCTCATTTTCAGATAGACAAAAAAACATTCAACCAAAGTTGTTTTTCTTTCCTGGTTCAGTATAACACCGTGTGGCACAAAGCAACAAAGACCTTGGCATTGTTGAGAGATGGCCAAAATTCAGCCCCCGATTCTCAAAAAAATTCATTTCAAAGTATCATCGAGAAATATGAGGACATTACTGCCAATGCTCACCTTCAGATGGAGTCACTGGCGCAACGTTTTTCTTCAGAGGATATTGATAAAGCTGGTATCGAGGACTGGAATTTCAGGCCTTTAAGTGGAGTTCCAGGATTGTCGGAAAGAGACCACTTCAGGGTTCTTCATAGGATCAAGGATATTTACAAGCGGCAAAACCAAACGGCTGACCTTTCCTGTCTCGTCCGCAAGAAGATGGACTTGCTTCAAAGGAAACTGAAGTCTGCCGCTAGCACTCGGCCCCAAACCCATCCTAGTGGTGGCCTCCCCCAACCTCCAGGAATGCACATGACCCAAACTCAAACATTGATTCCACCTGTAGTTCAACAGAGGCATTCGGATAATAATCCCAACAGAGGTCTACGTGATGTGAAGCCTGTACAGACTACGATTGTAGGCCATTCCCAGCAGTACCATTCCTTGCCAGACCAGTCGCCAGACATCAGAAGAGTTGTTCTCAGGAATGTTAAGGCTGAAACTGCTGTACATGTAGGTGTGGACCAACAGGGATTTGGTGCCTCAAACCCTGCTCCTCAAAATTCAGGTAAATACTATGCTTGACGGTATCCACTCTAGGGCTGTCCAGAATATACTGAATATTCAAATATTCGATCATCACTGAATATTCAAATATCTTTTTGCTGGTTTGAATATTCAAAAACAAAAGCACACAAGTGCGATGTTATTTTATCATAAAGTTGTAGCATGTTATTGTCAGGTGCCACGTTTTTGTTGACGGCAACTTTTGAAGACTCAATCAAACTTTTTCTCGATTCAAGCCCCAAAAATGCCCACTTGTTCAGGATTCAAAAGTGAACTCAGTTTAATTTAATGTAGAGTAGCTCATTCGTCATTTGTGCATTTTTATCGCTTGAACAAAAGTGCTCAAAATATACACTGGTGCTTAACGGCCAACCTGATAAAGTTTTAGCTTTGTCAATACTGTGCTGTGTATTCGGAGAATACAATATTCTAGGATCTCGGTTTCAATTCAAAAGTTGGCAAGGCATGTTTTGATTTGCACCCGAAATCAGCACGTTCTCAATCAGTCGATTGCAGCTACGCGATGTCACGCACTGAAATGTCGAATAATAACAACCACGCACTCATGCGCGTTGTGTCAACGTTTGCGCGCACCCATTCACGGATTCGCCGAATTACAAACCAACTACATGTACTAACAGATATTTCAAAAAAAATGTGTCACTTGACACATCTTTAGAAATGGCCTTCTTTTATTATTTTCTTCAAAATGACAGCAGGCGCGTATCCAGGGGGGGGGGGGGGGGGGGTCTAACCCCAGCTCTGACTCAATTTTTTTTCTTCCATAGATATATATTAAAAATAATGTGGCCTACCTTGCAATCCATCAGCAAAGTTCCAATGAATCAATGTTCCCAGCAAATCAGGCTCTCCCTCCCAAAAAATGTTGTATTACTATTATTAAATTGAAAATTTCTTCTTTTGTTAAAGGTACTTGTATCATGCAGCGAAACAGTTGACTAAGGTGAGCAACGCTTGTTCAGGTGGAACTTCTTACAGCAATAGAATGTTGCTGCCTTGACATGGACTAAGATGTCACTCTTCCAAAGCGGTACCTACTCCAAGATTCCAGGAGATCGTCACTCCAGGCTATCGGCAGCATCACATCTGTGACCACAGAAAAATGGCTTCCCTGTTGTCACTAAGAACAACAGTATGACATTTCTCATTCCCGGTCTTCGAACATCCCTCGTCTGCAGGGGGATGTGAACTTTGGACTTCCAATTTATTTCTCCCCATTTTGATTTATTCATTGTGCAGCTGTATTCAAAAACGTGTTTATTTTTTAGAAGATCAGAGATGTTTTATGGGAAAAAACTAAGTTTGAATTTTCAAGGTTTTGGATTTTTCCCCATGACATTCCAATTCAAGACTACAGTTTCTTGATTACAAAAAAAAAAAAATCAGGTTTACTCTTTTCCAAATAAGATTGAAAAAAAAACCCCAGAGTTTTAGCATTTTTTCAGAAAAGTGGGGTAAGTACATGTTTGTAAAAGTGTGTCTAATGTATTGCTGAGTAGAATAATTGGTCTTCCAAATGCTTTTCAGTTTGTTTCATTAGGATGTTTGGTTCAAAAGATACAGCACAATCTCACAACACGGGACTTGAAAAGCCACATAGGCCACTTTTTATTTATCAAAGTTACAGATGGAAGAGAATAAATTCTTTGTGTGTTCTCTTACTGGGCTTTCTCTTTTTCAAGGAAAGTGGCCCAAAACAATTTGTTAACTGCCATAGCATAATGAGGAATAACCCCCATCTTTGACTTTTCAGGTTAAGTACATCATGTTAAAGTACAAATCATGGGCTTTCCAATGATACCAAATTTATTTCTGTAGCTGAATTTATTCCAAAGATACGCCGTAGGAACGTCAACAACGTCTTGCCAACCTCATTTTGAGAAAAACGGCTTTGAAAAAAAAGTTGCACCTTGCGCCACCAACAGCATGGACAAAATGTTCTTCAGGTTTTCCACTTTTGGGGGTATTTTTTCCCCAACAAAAATGCATAGTATGAATCTTGGATACCCTGACTACTCAAAAATACAAAACAACCAATATAAATTTTAACTTGATTTTTCTACTAATGTATATCCGACTTGAGGCGTCGATTACTCAAAACAAGGTTTTGGGGGACATTCCTCATTTTGCCTCATTAGGTCACATTTTCAACCCTTGAGTTCGATAAAGCGTAGTAGCCTTTGTTCCAGTGCATCACTTTGAATGAAATAACGTTTGTATGGTAGATTAGTTATCTGACTTTAGGAGGTAATTTGAAAATATTCCAAGAGTCACATGCATACAAATGTAACTTTATTAATTGGTTTTTGACTGTTAAGAGTTTTTGTGGAACAACCTGTAAAAGCAGCCATGTTAGAATTGTTAGGTGATATTACAGTCCTGGAACAGATTGCTGATTCGACAAAATAAATCTGGCGCAAACACTTTTTTTTTTTCTATTTTGGCAGTAAAAGCAGAACTGCCTTCTGTTTTTCTTTCCACTTTTTAGAGCTAAAATGCATGGAATATCTACCCATGTTTTGTGGAAAAGTTTGCGCTGCACTTAAAAGCCCTTTACATTCAGCTGATTTACTTTCTTTTAAAAGAACCTTTTTTATATTATTTTTTTTTACTGATTTGACAATTTTGTACATGCATATTTTTTTAAGGCATGATGGAGGTACAGCAAAAAGTGATTATAAAACCACATTTCTTAAGGGGAGAACTAAAAGCGATATTTAAAAGACCTTTTTGAGATGTTACAACATGCCCTTTGCATTCGGGCCGTTTGAGGTTTTTATTTTTATTTACACATGTGCATCCGTTTTTGTTATAATCTACATGTTTTCAATTCAGTAATATTGTAGATAAGGTTTACACATGTATAACATGTGCAAACTACACCTCAAATATAACTGTCATGGAAAGAGAACATGTACACGTATACCTATTCTGTAAATAATTTTGTGAACAGGCGGAACAGCAAGTAAAGCTAGTAAACTCAGCTGAAACAGAGTGTAAATACGAAGCAGTTTTGGAAGTCTTGAAACTTTCCGCAGCAGGCATCCCAGACAGAAGTTCAAGCTTGTTCCACTTTAAGTTCACAAAATGGTTACAGTGTACATACTACTTGTACTTGCCGTGGACAAAAATTTTCCTTCATTTATGTTGCAGTACAAATGAGGCCTTCAACTTTAATGTGGAAAAAACACTGTAAGAGTATATTGTTTTGTACTTGTGATTTTAACTAAAAAGAAATGAGATACATGTACATAATTTATCAAGGATTTTAAGATTTGGTCAAATTATGTTGGTGTACTGAAGGTCTTATGTCAACATGTTATACTTAACATTGTACATGTAAAATTCCAAAATGTGATCACTTCAAATCAACACTTTGTAGTTTGTGATGGAAGGTATCTTAATCATTTTAAATAATACTTACGGAATACGCTGTTTCTTTGATTGCTTTGAGCCTACTTTAAGAGATCAAAAAAAAGAAACAATGTCAGACTTCAAGTACTATAAAATACTTTATTTTATTCCAGAAATATCCTCAAGGCTTCCATGTTTATGTGCTGGATAACCTGGTTACCCTTTCCAAACTAAAATGGCATCTGAAAGGGCCAAAAACCCTTAATCATTTTTGTTGAAAAAAAAAGTAATAAAAGGAAGCACTCAAATATTCTTGTTGATAGTAATTTTGTAAAAGACCACAATCTTTTGAATTTGTGTAACTATTTGAATTTAACAAACTCTCTAATGCTACCCCACCCCCAACTGACTGTTAGTTTCAAGCATCCAACTTTTCCTCAGATCAGCTTCACGCTTATTTCAAAAATAAAAGTTGAAAAACACTATACAAACTGTACTGAGACTTGTAAAGCTTTGAATTTCCTCTGATTTGTTTCTTCCCAGTTACACACCTGTGGTTTGGTAAACAAAAATTTCAAAGCTTCACTGCGACCTAATGATCCCAGCCTTAACTAGGGTCATAGCATCTGAATGTGAACTTAAATTTCTCAAGGTGTATTTGGAAGACGGCATTTTAGTTTATAAAATCCCACCCACTGGATGATCACTTTAAAACCTCACAGCTGCCTTTTTTCAGAGATCTGTGCATCTACATGTACAGTGATTCCCAGCTAAAATCCAAACGATAAAATAGTTAATCGGTACTCTGTTTAGTTGGCCTAAAATAAAAATGTTACGCCTAACAGAACATCGGTCAAAAACATTAGTTGGGACTTAAGTTGGACCACTTAAGTTGGGACTATGGTCTAGATTGGGCGTAATACAAATGCTTGAACAGCTGATATGGTGGTAACCTCTTCCCCAGGATAGTTGTACCGGAATTGATAATGTTGGAAACCCCTGAGGTTGAGGTTGCAGTGGCGGCCATATTTTCTACAGTTTTTACTCTGTAGTCATTCACTCTCCATCAAGCCTCTGGGACACAAGCCAGGGAGATTCTTCTGCACTGTGTGGACTAATGTGAGTAGCTTTCACATGTTTTATTACTTCAGTTATCACTTAACAGTTGTACCTTCAAACTAATGTTTCCACAAAACATTACTGGACAGAATCTTGAGTCTCTGGGGTGTGAACATACACTTTGGCCTTGGCACTTCTTAATTTACATGCAGGTCAGCAAACGATTGTCAACCAACTATATGGGCATTAATTTATTTAAACCAGTCTCTATGTATATTTTAAACCAACTAAGTTCTATGTATTCGCAAGGAACACCTCAGAAAAGGTAGCCCCATAAATGTTGCCAATTTACTGGACTTACGGACTACCTCCGTAAATAAAGGCCACACTTCCACCATGTACAAAAACATGTAGAACTTTGTCAAATTTGATTTTCACATTTAGGCTTAGTTTGTAGGGTTTTTTTGCTTTAGAAGCATACTCACCCTCTTTATAGGCTAATCAGAAAGTGCTGCCTTTTTCAGATGTCTATTTTTCGTGAAATTTCCAGATTCGTTTGCACACGTTTGCATATCAAACTTTCAACATGAAATTTCACGAAAATTAGACATCTGAAAAAGGCAGCACTTTCTGATTAGCCTATAAAGAGGGTGAGTATGCTTCTAAAGCAAAAATAAACTACAAACTAAGCCTAAATGTGAAAATCAAAATTTGACAAAGTTCCGTCGACATGTTTTTGTACATGGGGGAAGTGTGGCCTTTATTTACGGAGGTAGTCCGGTAAATTGGCCACATTTATGGGGCTACAGGAAAGGGTGCACATTGTACATGTAGCAGCTATCTTGTAAAATAACCACAAAGATTTAAAACGTCCCATATGTATGCCCTCGGACTCGATGTACATGTATGACATGGCAACACTGCTGGAAATTTGTCTTAAGACTCAAAATACTCTGCATAACCTTAACACTCAGATCAAAACCTCAAAATCTATTTTAGCAAAGATTAGTCATCCACATATGAATACATACATACATGTACTCATTTCTCAGGATGCATACAAGTATGTATTGCTTGAAATTTATCAAACTTTATCAACTTCTGGTGCTCAAAATGTTGGGAGCAATCGGTGGATCTGCACTGACACTCAATCGCGCAGAAAAGCAAGCGCGCAGAAAAGCACTTGCGCGATTGGTCCATTCTGTAGGAAATCTTAAGACTTTACTTCACTCATTCAAAACAATCTTCAAATGGTGATCGACTGCTGGCAGTGCGATAGGGAAACTGGCGGCACGATTGACCGATAATGAAACATGATCAACAGATTGCGTAGATCCACAGACTGCGCCCGATAAAAATTTAAAGACGTGATAAAATGAACTTGGGCACTTCCATAAAAATATACACCACCCATTCACACATCATAACCAAATTCATGTACACGTAGATGAACCTAAGAACTTTCCATTTTTGTTAAATTAAATTCTCAAATTTACAAAACCCCAAGTTAATTAGTCTACATTCTTGAAGCTCTGTACACGTATATAGAATAAGTTACTTCCTTAAATATCTTTATAAAAGTCTGAAAATGCTACTCTTCCGTACACTTTGACCTGTATTACCACCATGCCCTCTAATTACCCCTGCTCAGTATAAAATCAAAATCATATGCAAGGCCAAAAACAAAAAATAGTCGGTCTCTGGTCAGACCGAAGTTCCGGAATTGATGCTTTTTTGTGTCCTCATTATACATTGGTGTCCTCCATAATTTGCCTCGGTGCCCTTTTATCATTTGCCTTGGTGCAATTTCCCCATTCCTTGGTTCTCCTTGGTACAAAAATTTGAGAAGGCGCAGCAATAGAGGGCGCTGTCGTAGCTTCCGTGTTAATTTAAAGAGAAAAAAAAAGGTTGACGCGCATGATTAAAATTGACGCGTGCGCTGACCAGAGACCGAGTATTTTTTTTTTTTGCCTAATGTGGTGTCATTTCAATTGATGCCTGTACGGTAATTGAAATGACAGTAAAAAAAAAACCTAAACACTATTTTCTTTTTGTTGCTGAAAGAGGTCCCTCCTTCATTTTATTTGAAGTGTATCTTATAATAAACATAGGCTGGACTTCATTGTGTTTAAAAGAAATATAGATTGCCTGTGGCCTCAGCAACAGTTTTAACTTCCCAATTTTATTATGAAGCTATCAGCTTTCTTCTTTTTAAGGAAGTCGATGAACCATCAAATTCAGAGTTGTTAATGTAGTCAAGTCTGGATCTCAGCTTGAGGCAAAAAGATTGAAGTCTAGACTTGAATTTGGTTTGGTTTAGACTTCAGAACATGAGTCCTTGGTCAAATAAAGACTTGAATCTGGATTCCAAATCTCTTCTGTACGGACGTCATACACAAGTATAAGCCATTGATAGTGTTGGTCTGTCTTAAATGTCAAATGGAAGAAAATAACAAAATGGCCCTTATAACCCCTACTTGACTATTTGCGATTTTTTTTGAATGGACATATTCTTCAGCCTCAGTGAGGGACTTGTTACTTGGCCTTTTTGCTCTCGCCATCTTGGTCAACCTGTCCGACGTTCTGTTTGGCGCATTGCCTTGGAAACCAACCTCGGATTCTCGGCCCTGGGTTTTCCGCATCCTTATCAAACTGAACAACCTCTCCGTACATCCAGTATCTGAACAGGCACAAAAAACAAAGAATATCACATACAGAAATTTCAACGTGAACTCCTTTTATTAGGTAACTGAAAACTGTGGTGTTGACAGACCTAAGATATAATGGCGTCGCGCTTTGTTTACCTGTGCGCTTTCCTCTGGGAGCCAGGTGGGGATGATTGTCTGGCGCCCCCACCTGACTTCCATAGGAAAGCGCACATGTAAACAAAGCATGACGTCATTGCAGCTTAGGTCTATATTGTCTATACATTGCCCAACAATAATCAACAATATACAATAGCAAATGTTCATTTTTCAAGACGGCTTTAAATCTTGTGTTATCAAAAAAACTGACTACCGCACAATGTTTAGCTCCTCAAACGACTGTCGTTAATACAGAATCAGTAGGAGCTAGCCAAAGTGTTTGTTATATCAGAATTTTGTATTAAGTGGAGTGCTGGTCCCATTCATTGTGCACATAAATGCACAGTCGGGACCAAGGCTTTATGTTTGCTATAACCAAAATTTGTATTAACAGTGTTTGTAATAACGAGAGTCGAGTGTACATGTACAAGAAGTAGTATATGCACATCACAGAATTTCCTGCGTGACTTTTTTGATACCAGACAGCACATTGTTTGAAGTCGTAAATTGATCATGTGATGTATCACAGTGGATGCAGTGTTATGGTGGCATTAAAAAGTGCCGGTTACAGGTCATTTGAACGCGATGCCTCACAGGGTAGTCGAAAAGGTAGCAATTGAAGACTCACTTTTTCCATCTGCTGATCATGATGATGTCACCTTCGTCAATCTCGATACGTGACTCGTCCGTTAGTGGAATGCAGATGCAAGTACGACACCCTTTGGAGAGAGGAAACCACGATCCTTCGTAGTCCTCGGTAGCGATGTACTCGATCTATAACAGACACCAGCAAAAACGAATGTTACCTACAACTAACTACACACAATGGCAAACTGAGGACAATCATTGTTTAAGGATGGAACGGAGGCTGAACTCCTGCAACAAGTACTCCTTCAACGGCCAGAAAAGGAGAGTTGGGGGAGACCTAGACTGGTTCCCGTCCATCCACTGCATATTTCAAATGATCCAACATTATTCAGGACGGGGATTCGTCTGGGAGACCATCGCAAGTTAAATTTGAAAGTATTCGACGCCTGATGCTCAAGCGATCATAGCTTTTGCACATTCAGGAAGTCGTGCGTACTTCGCGCGTGAACCAGTATAGTACAGTACACACACACGCTGTGTGCCCCAAAAGTGGTATATACGCGCCCTCTTTTGTTGGCGCACGGAGCCCATACACCTCTAAAGATCTTGCAAGGAGCCCATAGTGAAGACGTCATGTTGCTTTTCATTGTCTTGATGACCAAAGGTCGAGGTGAAGATTGACGACAGTGATCTCATACTCACCATTCGCTCCTTTTTGAGTCGCTTCTGTAATATCTGCTCCATCTGAAAAATAACAAACAAAAACATACATTTGAACTGAATTTCATCCATACATCGGCGAAGAATAACACCCAATATCGAAATCTCATCCCTGTATTATCGCACATTTTAGGCAGATGTGCTACTCACTGTTAGTGTATACTGTGTGCAGCCGTCCACCACCGTCCATGTAAAGCCGTCTCCTTTCGGCATACCAGCCCATGTGAACACCTGTTGTAGGTTCCTCTTACGTCCTAGGTCGTACGGAAACACAAAGTCCTTCTCCAGGTTTCTGTGTCGATGTACCGCCTTTTTCAGCAAAAACAAACAAGAAAGATACTCCAGATGAAATTCATATGCAGACAAGCCAGTGCATGCATGCAATTTGTCTTGAGCGATCACGAAGTGTCAACTCACTGTTAACCCTTCTACCTGTAACTGTTAAATGTTAACTGTTATGCTTAGCTATTAACTGATGCTGTTAACTGTCAACTGTTAACTGTTAAATTCAGGCATGGAGTTTGTTTATGTTTTTTTCATTCAGTTGACAGACTCTATTGTCCTTTCAGCCATTGTTTATTTGTGCAAATTATTCATTGTTGATACAGTCGACTCTCGTTAGTACAAACTCTGTTAATACACAATTCTGGTTATAACAAACATAAAGCCTTGGTCCCGACTGTGCATTTATGTGCACAATGAATGAGACTGGTGTTCCTCTTGATACAAAATTCTGATATAACAAACAATTTGGCTAGGTCCGAACGAGTTTGTTATAATGAGACTCGACTGTAATTGGACAGTTACAATTTGCAGCATGTGATCTGCTCAATACTCACTTTTGCTACAATCCAGTTTTCTATACCGCTCTCATTTTTCAGTATGGCGCGAATCTGGTGAAAGAAAAGATGATTGAAAATGTAACAACAGCATGTGGGAGGACACAGCATCGCTAAAGGTAAGCGGAATGTTGGTGTGGAATTACAAAAACTTACGTTTACATTTTTAAACGCTCAAGCTTTTTTAATCAAACAAGGTAGTAACCAGACACAACTAAGGATGTGATTTTCCGTTACATTTTGTAAACATGTAGCAAATGTTTTAAATACTGTTTAAACGCAAAGGCTGACAAACGCACAATTATTTCTGCAGACACCGGCGTGATTGACATGATAAATCAACAGTGATTGACATAACAAATAGCGGGCAGTCACTGAAAAAGTTAAATCTTAACTGTGTGTACCCAGAATGTAATCAAGCAATGCGGTGCTTCTAAGGTTTTGTAAATTAAATGGGTTTGAAAACATCATTAAGTATATGGGCTCAAAGGAAGATCGGCCAAACGGAGATTCCTTTTTACATTTCAGGTTTTGTTTAAACGTTTGGGAAAAAGTGTAAACGGATTTAGAATTCGTTTTCGCTTTAACGTTTAAACGTGTACACGTCACATCCCTAGACACCAACTATCAAAATCCTACATCTGCATAATTTGCACTATTTCTGATGCGTTCGGCCATTTTACATGCTGCCTGAACTTTTCATGTAAAAACAGTTGCCACTGGCTTTCTTAACAGTGTTGGATTTTTGGGAATTCATGAAGCTTAAAATAAATCGTAGAGTTAGGAATAAACTGAAGAATTGGAAAAACAATAATATCATTTTACCTGAGTGTAAAATAAGAATGAGACGGCGAGAGCCACACCTAAGGCAAGACCCACCGCGATGAAAGACATGAAGAGCTGAGGCAAACCGTACTCCATGCCTAGGGGTGCCTGGCTGAGCTTACGGTACTGCTTGGGGTCGTACAGTTGCTGTCAACACAGAAATGTGACAATGTTAAGGACGTTATAAATCAAACCGCTACTTATTATATTCTCCTCATATAACTTCAAGTGAGATTTTGCCAATCAATGTCAAATATTTCATGAGAATTCAACAAGATGCAAAACTACTGGAGAATATAGACTGCTGAATCAAACGAGATCCAACAAGAGGAACAAAAGATCCTTGCGGCCCGTCTCAGTTCATATCTGGGACGAGTTCCGGACAAGTCGCTGGTAGAATCATTCACTTTGTCCAGAAGAAGCTCTGCGTTTGTCTCAGACATGTTCTTGGGAAATTTTCGTTAGCAACTGCTCGACTCACCAATAGTAATAACTTCATAGCAGGAAGATTGCGGGGAAGTTGTTCAGAATCCTACAACTTATACCCGATACAATGTCCCCAACTCGTCCACAACTCGTCCCAAATATGAACTGAGACGGGCCCTTACTGGACTCAAGCATGCAACTGGGAAGTCACAAAAACAAGGGGAAAAATTAACTAAAAAGAATCTCTGCAATTTTTCCAAGTTTTTCTGCTATTTAAATAAATGAGGAAATTAGCTGATCCAAGAAAAAGTTGCATGCCTGTCGACAACGCTCATCAACAATTCTGACGAAAATCCTTTGTCAGAATTTTGTAGAGTTAAGGAGCTCTCTGAAATTGATAAAATTCTAAATAGAGTTGGTCACATGAATCATTGCAATCATCCTAACCTTATAAATTTCATTGTAAATAGTCAGACAAATAACCACAGCCCCATGGAAACAGCCGATCGGGGCGAAGATAAGGAAGTAGGTGAAGTGGGCGTGGTTACGATGACCACAACAGGTGTTTATCCAGGGACAATGATGGTCCATCTTCATCACGCACCTAATACAAAATAATGAAAAACAAAATGCATACAAAATTAAATATTTAGAACCTTTACTAATTGCATTACATTGTATTTACTCCTTGATGAAGCGCTAAGACTACAGACACTAGCAGATCCAGGATCATGATTTGAACAATGGTCCCTGGCCAATCATGGTCTGATTTTTTTTTTTTTTTTTTATTTAACTGGCTGTCTCAGACCCATAAACCAATTATTTTGGTTCTTTTACCTCTTGCAGTATTTACAATGGTGAGATCGTGGCGCCTTGTATCCCTTGCAAACGTGACAGTACTGGAGATATTTTTCATCTTCTGGCTTCTCCTATGAAAAAAAGTAACACACACGATAAAACTTTAACGACAAATTACTACTGTATTATATATTTTTCATCTAACGAGTTAAAAGGCTCGACACAGAGGGAAAAGTGTCAGTAAGCATTGGTCAGAAAGACACAACTTGACTGTCCGGTTGTATCTCCCCACCCAGGAGTAAATCGGGTACCCATGAGGGCAGAGATGGTTATTGTGATTGATTTAAGCTGCTTTGCGCCAAAATGGCAGCTTCGATGAGCTGAGATGGCATTTGGAATATTTCATTAGCCCAATGAGCAGGGTAATAATGATGTAGCCCCTTCAGCACCAGTACTGATGGATATATGCACTTTATAAATACACACTATTATTATTTTCTATTATAGCAAATTCAAAGTGCCCTAATTCTTGAATCATGCATAGGAGGGTTATAATACTGTGATACTGAAAGTTGAACCATTTTATTAGTGTGGTAGTAATGTTTAAAAGCAATGTTTTGAAATAGAGCCTAGGTAATGAGTGTTTCTTTTAACACATTTCGCTTGAGTGGTGCCCACAAAGTTTTATGCACCAGTTTCTTTTCTTATTCTCCATGTTGTTTGGGGGACCCTCAATACAAAGTTTTGAAAGCCCAGAGTTTTCCAAGGGAATCTAAACTTACAGGTCTCCAACCGAGTGGTACAAAGCCAGGTCCGTAGAATACAGCATGGAAGTAATTGTACAAAATGAAGAAAATCCAGGACGACAGCACTACAAAATGCACAATGCTGGAAACGCTCTGCTTATGTGGTGGCCAGTAGAACAGGTCGCACATGACCGCAGTTCCCGTGATGTCGAACACCAGGAATAGCGTGATGTAGGGCCCCCAATGGCAGAGGCGCCGCAGTGGTCCAAAACACATGTTTGAGCAAAATTGGGGTCGGTCTCAGAACAGTGAGTAGACAGGTAGGGTTTGGTGAGAAATAGGAAATCTGTGCACGTTATTCCATGGAGAAACTGGTATCCTGTTGGCTTCGGCTCACCATTCAGTTCTGTATGTAATAGACGAAAATCACAAACTGCATTTTGTTATTACGGTACAACATATCAATCAATATGGGGAAGGCCTAATAAAAATTCATGCATAAAATGTGTAAAAGGGTTCACAAATCACGTTTTAAGTAGGTATAATCTAGCCGGCTTAATATAATAATATTATTTACTGAAAGAAAGCTGGCTAATGATATAGCCGGTTAAGTTACACTTCTCAATCTCATAATGAAAAAAAAGTGGCGTCATGATGCAATATTCTTTCCAAGGATTTAATTTTGATATTTTACAGTCCGATTAGGATTAGCATGATTATTTGGCCTACAATTCTGCATTTGGAGTGGTAATTCACGTGGTGTCACGGGGCTGACATTTAAAGTAACTAAATGTAACAATATTCAATAACATGTCATGCCATGGTGATTTTGGAAACTGGTCACTCATATTCCATCGTCGATTTGCAGCTCCAAAAATGATCGTGAATACCAGAGTTCTAGCGTCCCGGCTACTGGGAGTAAAGTCTATGTTAAATTCCTACGTTTTTTAGAAAATCATTCACTCGACTAGCCCCACTAGTGTGGCCGTCGGTATGCTGCGCTGAACCTAAGCGCAGCATACCGACGGCCACACTAGTGAGTGGGGCTATCACTCGACCATCCACTCGAGATCGACTGACGACTCTCCTTGCAAATTCCGTAATGTAGCAGGTTAGAATTGTACACAACCAAAGAAGTGGCGACTGGATACTACATTGTTAATGATGATCGCTCAATTTGTATGTAATTTTCAATTTTAACAAAAAATAAATAGTCATTTTTGGAAAACTTTGGGAAGGTTTACTTACCAGCTTACTGCACGATCGCTTTCACATGCACACGGTCGGATATGGGATAAACCCAGACGTCTTGCTGCGTGTACGTTACTATACGAACTGGGGTAGAGTGGTTCCCCAAAAGTCGTACAAAATACGATATTAATTTCTTTGGAGACGACTGGGTATCTGACAATCTGTTTTCGTCGAGGTGCCTGTCTAATTTTTTTTTGCGGGATGGGCGTGGCACCTGAGCCCCGCCTTATTATAGTCTCGAGACGCCACGCCTTTGGTTTTGTACAAAGTCTACGGAGAGTCGAGTGCATTTTCAAAAGAAATGTATTTCTAAGAAAATTGGAAATGGTTTCTCAGTCCCAGATTCATGTTATTTCAACATATCATTGAATTAAAGGGAATGTACATCATTGGCTTTTGTTGCAATTTTCAAAAATGAACTATTTGAGGGGTTTGTATAATAGATCAAATATTGTTACACTGACATTTTTGAAGTTTTGTGTTCGAAAATGCTGGAAAAGCAAAGAAAAAAGAAAATGTTCAAGTAGTATGGTTCCCTGACTCCACTAAATATAAAATGGATCAATTTACAGATGCAGGAAACTTGTAAGGTAATGGAACCAGTCTAGCCGGCCTGCACCCGTTCATGAACATGTAACCAATAGCAAACAAAATTTGGACTGAAAGAAATATGGTTAATTTGGAGCAGTAGTTGAAAAATAGTTAAGTTTTTCCAACGGTGGTCGGCCGACCACCGTTGGAAATTTTTTACAAAAATACCATTTCCTTGAAAATGACTTCACACCAGGTGCCATAATTTTACAGGATGCTTTAGACTGTCATTAACCAACATCCTAGTAAGATATTTCGTAAAAAATTGGTAGTTTTATTTGTTGATGTTTGCAAATGTTGTATATTCCCTTTAAATACGATTATAAAAGTGGCGTCAGGATGCAACGTTTTTTCCCCCTCCCCCCCCCCCCCCCCCAATTCTTGATTCTTTCTTACCTCTATTAACGGTATTTTATTGTTCTTTGCGTCGTCATGTCTGAGCGGAGTTTTGATCAGTATTGATCAGTGTTGTGTTAACTTGCACGGGGGGGGGGGGGGGGGTCATCGTATCCCCCCCCCCCCAACCGCATTGCTAAAAAAAAAGGGGGGAAGTCCCCCCCCCCCCCCATCCAATTCGCCTTGCGTTGTCCGTTGATGCTGTAACTTCATTCATTTGTAAACTTTCGATGTTTCAGCGCAAACGTGTTGGGATGCCGTAGAGGGCGCTTTGTGACACACGCGAGTGCGCACCACGTACGCACGTGCTCGAAAAATACCTTCCCCTTGCACGCGGGATTGTAGCTTTAAGTTAGTCCCAAATGAAACCGCAATTAGGTTCCGATTGTATTCTTCGGCTCTCGGTTTCAACCGATACACTGAAACACTTGCGAAGTGTTTCAGTGTATCGGTTGAAACCGGGGGTGATGGTTAATCGGAAACAATTACCACTTTTTTAATGATCAATTAGGTGACAGTACAGGAGAATGACGTAGATGGATGATGCACAAACCTATGCCGTGGGGATATGCAGATATGTAATGACGAACTTTTTGCGCTAGAACAAAGGGATCGTGCATCTCCATACCCGGCCCCTACAATATCATCGTTGCAGGGCTAGGGAAGGATCCAGGAATGTTTGCAGGGGGAAGGGTCAGGCCCATGATTTGTTAGTCTGATATTGTTGCGGACAGGCGGACATATACCTAGTATGGGTAATTGATTGCAGGGGGTTAGGAACACCCCCCCCCCCCTCGCCAGATCATGTCCCAGAAAGTATAGCGTATACTTCATGTCAACACTCGAAGTGTTTAGTGACACTCGAAGTGCTTAGCTAATGCTAATAATGTAACTGCAATAGTCTGAAAGAGCGACCTTATGATTTAATATATATTTTTAGCAATACACAAATATTTACCCCTTTTGCTTTTGGCAACACTGTCGCCTTGTTTTTTCGAACGGATTAATGTTCTGTCGTCTCATCAACCTTATTAGACGCGGATTTTCAATTCTAGAGTGCAGCTGCGCCTAGCTTATAATTACGCTCAGCATTAATGACAAAGAAGGCCGTCGTCGCGATCATGCTTCCTATAATTATAGCTGTATACGGTATGAACATGGTAGCGTTTTTCCGATGCTTCGAGTACGGAAAGGGACACATTATTATTATTATTATCATTATTTATTCGACCCAAACGACATTTCAAACTTACAACATAACACAATGGGAAAATACAAAGCCATAAACAATCAAATGAGAGGGAAAAAAAGTATGACCAGAAAGCCAAAAAATTAAACTAAATTAAACAAACGAGATAAAACAAATAACAGGATGGGGGCCATAAACACATACAAGACATAAGCAAAATCAAGTATAATAAAAAACACACAAATTACACAAACAAAAATATGTGGGTCGGGGAAAGCAAAAGTAACTTAATTACATCCACATTTCAGTCGTATAACATGTGACAGTAAGCTTTCGAATGGTTCGCAATTATGGCATAACGGTAAGGCACAAACAATTATTTCAAATCTCCAAGGATGCAGGCGGAAACCGTGTCGTCCTACAAAGCCACCTTGCAAGACCACCGCAACTTCCCTTATATATTGTCGTCGTCACTAATGAGTCACTAACGCGTCCTCGATGATTAATTAAGGGAGTTCTCCCTCCGGTAGCTACTCGTTATAGTTTTTCATTATTGCAAATGAGATCACTGAGACAATAGTTGTTTGAAAAAGAGGTGATATGACTTCTTCTGTCACGTTTTTCAGACGCGTATAGAAACCAATCGTTTTTGTAGACTGGGTTTATTTTGCTGATAGGCCTATGCTGAGCAGTTTCGCCTCTATAAGACCGGGTCCGGCCAAACAACGAAAAAAAATATGGTTGAGGGTACCTCATTCCCAAACGGTATCGATGGGAATGGTTGCATACCCGATCAGTTTAACGACACACTCCTTGATGATTTGGACAGACCTACTTTCCTTCGTCTTGCCAGTTTCAGCGTTTCGGCACTGGGCTGTCTGGCCAATGTAAGCCTTCTTTTGGTGCTGATCCGCCACAAATCAATGCACACTGCTGTCAATATCTACCTGGCTAATCTGGCCGTCGCTGATGTGGTGCTGCTGGCGCTTGGGTCTTTTGGCGTCTTGACTGACGTTCTCGAGTATCTGCCCAGAGACTTCCTCGGCTGTGTCTACATCGTGCTGACGGCGGTTCCATTTATCACGTCCTTACTGACAGTGTCTCTTTTGACTTTGGAGAGGTACTATGCTGTGTGTCAGCCGCTGAAGCACAGGACCGTGTCCAGTTCGACCAAACGAAGCATCAGACGGGTTGGCTTCGTTTGGTGCTGCAGTTTGCTCTACAGCTCCCTGACGCATCTAGAGAATGGTCTTTCTGGCAACGGGTGTCGAGCAGCTCTCCAAAGTGCACAGAAGGACTCATGTGATCAAACAGATGAGCCCCATCCCCTTTTCTACAGCGACATCTGCAGACCTCTGCTAGCAATTCTGTTGCTTTTCATCAACTGTCTTCTGTACTTCAGAATCATCAGAAGGCTTAAAAAGAGTCTGCTTTTCCGCAACACTTTCGCCTCCTCGATGCCTGTCTGGTTCAAGAACATTCGCCAATCGCGAATCCGGATGACCAGGATGCTGGCGGTGAACACTTTCATCTTTTTCACGTGCAACACCCCTCGGATCGTGCTCGTAGTGATCAACTTCGCCTGCGCCGTTGTCGAATGGCCGCCGTTCGCGAATGAAACGGCAACTGTCACCTCCAATTCCCTGCTTCTGCTAAACTCTTGTGTCAATCCGCTTATTTACGTGCTTACAAACGAAAAATACAGACGGGCATTTCGGGAGGTGTTTCTACCAGCCTGCTGCAAGCCATCGCCAGCCGGCAAATCAAGAAAAGCAGTGATTCATCTCCAAGCACTGGATGGCAGTAATCCTCAATCGGCCACCACAAAATCCATCGCCTGCAAATGACTTTATGACTGCACGCGCTTTGCCTGCAGTTGTTTTAATCACGGAGCTGTAAAGCTCCTTTTAAATTCAAAACAAACTGTGGAACATTACGCCTCGTTAGCCGAAGAGTGCCGGCTTTTTTGTCTCGTAACCGAATGTGGTGTTTTATCTGCGTTTAAAAATAAATGTTTCATTCAAAAGTCGCATTTTGCACTTGTCTTGGTGTATGGCCTATCGTGTGTGTAATCCGTTTTCACGGAGATTATGTCCAAAACCAAGTCGTCATTATAAATATGATCATTCTTACCGTGTTACCATGAAAACCCCAGTAATGATATCCCAATCATGTAAATTAATTGTTGTGTTTTGTGTTATAATCTGAATCTGAATAGTGTAGCGCGATAGCCATTTACAGAGCAAGCACGTGTACCAACTAATGTTATTTGTCCTAAAACAAGCGATATATTTTTGACATTATTAATTTCAAGGTCATTGTTTGTCCTAGCTGGCCTCATTTATCAACATATCGATATTTATTTATCTATTACATTTAAGATTTGAGGCTTTGCATGGTGGAGTATCGGTATCGTTTCGGTTTGCGGTAACACCATTTGGTAATAAATACTGCTTAGAAGATATTTAGTTCTGAAAAGAACTTGTCCTGCTTATTATCAACTTTCGCTGAGTAGTTTTTGTTGTTCTAAGAACAGTCCTGCTTTATGTTCTAACAGAACTTGTCTTTGGTCTCCAAAGACATTTATTTACCCAGGGTATGCCCACACAGTTCAAAACTGGTTTCCATTGGGGCCCTGCATACAATAACTAATGACTACAAACATTGTATATACAATACATTACAAATTCAATACACTACAATTCAATACAATGGGATAAAACATTATTAATTTTGATTAATGCATGTAGTTGTTAAGCAAATAATCTTGTAAATTAAAACTATTATAAAAATGTACTGTGTGAAGGCTATGCCTACATCTTTTGAAAAAAAATGTCCCTTCAAAACTGGGTGCGATCCCCCCCCCCCCTCCCCCCCCCTCCACCCAATAATAACAACTCAAAAACATCAAAAACAAAAGACCAACCCTTATTTTATTTTTACCGGTCGGGGAAAATCCCTGATGTGCATCGATCATGCATAAAATTATAGACCTCCGTGACTGGACTTGCGCCCTCTGTTGATGAAGGTTGGTCAGCACTGCACTCACATCATCACACATGTCACACAGACGGTTGTACAACTTCGCGCTACATTTCCATTTCGCATTCGTCTACGTCTTGTCTGAGAAAACAGCTGAGGTAGTAAACACGTTTGACAGTTAGGCTAGCGACTGCCGAAACATTTTTAACACTATTAAAGCTGTTTGTGAACCTTGTCATCATGTCTAATCCTTGTGCTGGATGTAACAAAACAGTGTACTTTGGTAAGTAGGCCCCCCATTTAATTTCTACGCACTCACCTTCATTTGTGATTGTGACAGACAATGCGCGCGCGTAATGAAAGCGTTTAATACCGGAAAGAAAGCAACCTGATGCTACTTCGGCGGTTGGATACAACTACAACTACAAAGCCATGGAGAGTCAAGAAAATTTTTGTATTTTTTTCCTAACAAAATTGGAAATGTTTCTCAGTCCCAGGTTAATGTCTTATCGTCATTTTTGCAATGACTGACCTTCATTAAGAATGAAAAAGCAGGGTCAGGTTGCAACTAGACCCGTGAACGTGGCGTTGTACATTGTATGTATCGTTCACGGGTCTAGGTTGCAACATTCTTTCCGCGTTACCTGCGCAGATTATGGAGGGTCGAGGATGCTTTAGCTTGGCTATCGTTACGCGACGACAGCCATGTCATGCATGTCATGACAGCCGTAATGCTTAAATGCTATCGTTACAGCAATGCAAAAACACCATTTACATTACAACTACCCTTCTGAATTCCAGCCAGAGCACTTTTGTAGCTCGATTGGTTATACATGTTATACGCTTGAACTTGGGTGTTGGGACCGAATCTGCGCTGTGGTTGTGCCAAAACATTTTTCTTTTTTTCTTTTTTTGTTAAAACTAGGCCCGGCCTACTAACAATAACATGCTAAGCCTTACATGTAGTTATAATAATAAATAATAGTTATTTAATATCATATATTTACTTTTATTGAAGTAGGGGTCCTAGGCCTAGATTTCATTTGACAGGCGGCGCATTAAAAACACTTGTCTGCAACTTGTGCAAGCGGCTATTCCATAGACTAGGATTGTTTTTTGGTTTGGTTTGAATATCTGAACCCCCCCCCCTCCCACCCCTCCCACCCCCACGGCCCCACCCCCAACCCTCCCCCTTGGTGTACCACTGAACTTTCGCTGTTTTTGTTTCGTTTGTTCCAACCTTGAATCCATAGCCAAAAGACTGTTCAAATATAATGAACTTGATAAATGTTTTGTGTTTTTGTATACGTTCTCACGTTGGAATATGGGGGTAAATTGTACATTGAAATTAAATGTGAAATTGGATTGATACTGCACATCAGAGTGTAGCCATGTAAATCTACACCTGTAGGCTGTTCTCGAGATGTCTGGTAAAGTTTACCGTATGTGCTTGCCTAGTGTGCTAGCTGCCTTCTCAGCACTAGTAGTAGTAGTATTAAGGCCAAAAAAACAATTTGTTCTACTTCTGATTACATGGCATTCGGAAATAGGGTTGGTAGGTAGGGAATTTTTTTTGGCCAATTTTTTTGTGTACGATCATATGGAGGCGTCTGCTTGTAGTCAAGGGTAAAAGGTAGAAATTGATGGTTTTGGATGTTTTTTCCTCATTTTTCCCATAAAAAAATTTAGGGTAGGGGCTCTTAGAATAGAGTAGGTAGGGAAACCGGAAGCAGAACTGTTTTTTTTTTGGCCTAAGCAAGTCAACTGCATTATGTTATTTCACGAATCTCAGTGGGGATAATTGGGATTGTCCATAACCACACTGTCCCACCTAGCGTAATATGTCTGGGTGTCACAACGCACATACCTCTCCCCGTTATAATGAGGCCTGCACACAAAACCATCTGAGCCCTTGCCACAATTGCCACAGTCTGTTATTGTACATGTTTGGTTTACATTCTACACCAAAACAGGAAGCTTATTACCATAATAAGACATAAGCCTATTTTCTAAATTATTAAACTCACCTTTGAAGCTGATATTCAGTTGCATTACAAAAAAAATATTTAGGCCAAAAACAACAATTGTTCTGCTTCCAATTAGGCATTCAAAAATAGGGCAGGTACATTGTAGGTAGGGGAAAAAAATGTCGCCAATTTTTTTTGTGTACGATCATGAAGGCGTCTGCGTTTAGTCAAGGGTAAAAGGTAAAAATTGATGGTTTTGGGTGTTTTTTTCCCCCCCTCATTTTTCCCATAAAATAAAGTACGGTAGGGCTCTCACTAGTCTCAGAATAGGGTAGGTAGAGAAACTGGACCCTTTTTTTTTGTTTTTTTTTTGGTCTTACACTAGTATTAGAGGGCAGGGCTTTGATTTTGAGAGAACTTTTGGAGTAAAATGAGTATGAAATTTGATGAATCTTTCCATTATTATAACCCTCCATAGCCCCTTTAACCATAGACCCTTACTACGGTGTTCTCAAGTGCAACATGACAACTGAACTTGCCATCCAGCTGAGCTGACACTCTTGGCCTCGATGATCCCCCCCCCCCCCCCCCCCCCCCCCCCCCCGGCTCTCTGACAATTCCTGCATGCAGGATTCAGGATTAAATTTGGTTTCAGTTTCTGTTGCTCAAACCTCAAGACTTGTCACAAAAGATTTTCTTGTGATTTATGAGTCACAGCCTTTGCTGAACCTTGACATTAATTTTTGGGGCGGAGGGAGTTTCATAATGTGTACACCCTTAACTTGTTGAAATATCTTTTTACAGATGTTGAGGGGTTTCTTTTGTGGGGTGGGGTGGGGATGTGGCTTGTTAAACCGCTGAATTCTGACAAATCTTCAACTTTTGATGAGTTAAAGAGACAGTTATCTGTACATCGTCACCACCCAATAATTAAACCAAACTGTCTTTTCACTAATTTTGAGCATTTTAGCCAAAAAAACATGATCCTCAAACTTGGAATTTCAACCAAACATTTGCAAACATCAAAAAATAAAACTACCAAATCATTTTGAAATACCTTGCTGGACTGTTAGTGAATGACAGCGTAAAGCATCCTGTAAAATCATGGCACCTGGAATACTGTCATTTTCAAGAAAAGTGGTATTTTTGTATCAATTTCCAATGCTGGTCAGCCGACCAGCATTGGAAAAAACTTGGTTTTTTTCAAATACTGGCCCCAATTGACCATCGCACTTGTTTGCAATCGATTACACACCTATGAACGGGTACAAGCCAGCTAGACTGGTTCCCTGACCTTACAATTCCCCAATGTATGTAAACTGCTCTGTTTCTTTTATGGAGTCAGGGAACCAGACTACAGGAAAATGATTGTTTTTCTTGGTTTTTATAGCATGTTCGAACCCAAAACCTCAAAAAAGTCAGTGCAACCATATTTTCTATATACATATTTCCAAGCCCCCAATTCCATCCATTTCTGAAACTTACAGCAAAAGCAAATGATGTATATTCCCTTTAACTACTACTTTGTTTAATGTTACCGATATGTAACTAACAATAAACATTGTATCGTATTACCTCATGTATTAACACATTGTACAAAGTCTATATGTGCACATGCTGCTTGCAAAACACAATGTATGTCATTCACAGAGTGGTTTTAGTCGCAATTGTCCAAAGTGTAAATAGATCAAAATACCAAAAAACTCTGATGTTGATTTAACAAAAGATGCAGGTACAATGTACATCATACTGTGTACACATTGTAATGGTATTTGAACGGGAAACATATTTTATGTGTATGCATACATGTACATCTACTGGTACCTGCTGTTGTGTAGACATACAGGCATGAATTAATAATGTCTCTGCAACATCAAAATTTACAATGTACCCTGAACATTCAGTAAGGTGTAGATTTCTTTTTTTGCAAGTTTCACAGTAGTAACAATTTTGCAAATTTTTTTTTTTTTAATATCAAAATTGGAATAAAGTTTTCACAAAAAGGGGTATTATTAACGTCCTTTGATAACATGAATTCCTAAATTGTTTAATTTCACTTTTAAAACACAGTGGGTACAGACATGTATTCTTTACTTCTGTACCTCAAACTTCTGGCAAAAAAAGGTCAAACCCACTTACAAACAAAATCATGTCATAATTAACCTCCTAGAAAGAATTAGAAACATTCCAGAAAGTTGACTTCCATCACAGGTGTTAGGAACCATTGATGTTGTTTAATTCAACCATTATAATTGAACATTTTGCAGCGTAACACCTGTAGGCCTATAATGGTTCGTCACGGCTTAACCTATTTTCAGCTTTAAGCTCTTTCAAGCTTTGAAAATAGTTTGATCAAGCTTTGCAAACTGTCTTATTTGTCTCCCGTTTTACTAACGCTTAGCTTCAGATCATTACATACACAAGACTTGTTCTCCCATACAATACCATAAATGCCATTCTTTATCTCAGTGGAACCATAAAGGGACCTTTTGTTGGGATTTTTCTATAAACTATTCCAGTACCAGACATGCTTGGGGCGTATTATGCTTGCCCGGTTACCAAGTATGTCGAGTTGGCAGGCATTGTCGAACTTGTTGGTCTAAGGCAGGATAAACAATCTTTGACCTTATTCCAATAAAACAAAATGTAAAATGTCATGTTGCCTGTGTGTGAAAATTTGGGTGTGTTCAGTGAGTTGTGGAAACTCACAAAATGTTACTGTGCATTGTCAAGGCAATGCTTTGTGTTTATTTCAGGATGTACAGTTATTATTTGCAATAAATTATAAAATTTTGCCAAAATTGGGGGGGGGGGGTTTAGAACATTTTGCAGAAGTTTAATGGCCAAGCTACTAAAAGAGTAAGAATGTTAATGCATGTGCTTGTGTATACACACACATACTGGAATTTGTATCCTTGTGGAGACATTTTTTTGTTCTCGTGTACTAAAGTTTTTGAGTTTGAAAGTATAGTTTCAAAATGCTCAGGACTATTTTAACCAGGATTAATTTCCTGGACTGAAATTCGGACTTAATATCCCTTTTTAAAATATAACATACTTCAATTTGCGACATATATCAACCTAGCTTGGAAATTCCTAGTTTTTGAGTAAAATCCATACATGTACATGTATCTATTTAGTGATAACCTTGTGGAGACGTATTCATCTATAGAAATTGCCCTGTGGACTATACAATCTTATGTTCCCTATTATACACATGTCTGCAGAGGGTGCCGTGTATCAGATCAGCACAGCATTCCATCCACACATTGCATATTATGTACAAACATGTGTACATGTACATAATTTTAGTTGCCTAATGTATTGATTTATTCAGTTAGTGATAATTACATTCAGAACTGCACACCGCATCATTTATACACAACAATATCATTATCACTGTCACACATTAAAGGTAACTCCATCATTTGTAATTTGTGCATTTTGTACGTTTGAAGTAACAAAAGTGCTCAAAATCTAAAGAAGGGTGCTGAACAACTAACATGATGAAGTTTCAGCTCAGCTTTGGCTGTATATTTGGAGAAAAACAGCATTCTAGGATCTCAATTTCAAATCAAAAATACATAAAACAGTCACAGATTTGTGCTATAAATACGCCTACGACACGTCACACGTACAATGTATTTTGTCGCAGCTGTGACACATCGTGGGAATACGACGTGTCTAGCGCTGCGATGCATCGTAAGCTAAGATGAGTTCCATGAATTCAGGTGCTGGTCCCACATACACTCATCCTTATCTACATGTATGTAAATGTAACATGTATGCATTGTAAATTCCTTGGGATTATAAAGATTGTGTTGTTTATACATACGGCCATTAAAACTGGGTGTGGTTACATGTAGTGCCTACCATATCTTGTATCGTTTCCTTCCTCCATGGTATCACCAACATTGTTATCAATCAGTAATGGCAGCTGAAATACTATCCAAGCGAGCTTTTAAGACTTTTAAGCGTTTTTTTTGTTGTTGCTCACTTTCCCCCGATTCCATCCCAGGGTCAAGTTCCTGTTCAGAATTATTGATATTCCCCAGCAACAAAACAAAATTTGAAAATCTTAAACGTCAGTCAGTTAGTCAAACTTTGGAACCGTCAGATGCTGTCTAGAATCAGCTGTCGCAATCTCCTGAAGACGGTCAGAGCTCACTGACCAGAACGTCTGGTTCTTTTCAGAACCATTCTCTTAGTTTGAGAAACTATTGAGAAAGTCTCTGTAAACCTTTCATTCATTTTCATTCAATGCAAAGCCTCAAATCTTCCTCAACTGTCAAGAGTTTCAGTTGGCTGTAATGGGGAGTAAATTGCTCACAAGCCCCAGAAAGATTAATTCCATCTAATTCTGATGGAGTCACCCAAGCCTGTTTTGACACCCATTTTTTTCCACGTTTTGCTTTAGGTACAGTCTCTGAGAAAATCTGCCTCTCATTCTACAGGGCAGTTGTACAATGTATGCCCCAACAACAATATTTGATTTTCAAAAAGTAAACTTACACTTACATTGTATATGCAGGTTCCTCTTTCAACTCTATTATTGACTTGATGAAGCTTTAAAATGCTGCTAAAAGGTTATTCACACTAGTCTTTCAAACACTTCAAATCAAAGAGTCAGTAAACACCGTTAACCAGAGCCCCAAGGTACGTTATGATTTGCAGTGTATTCATAAGTTAGGACATGGCTGGAGGCAGCAGCTTGTTTACGTGTCTAGCTTACAAGAAAAGAAATGTTAATATCATGAGAACCTTTAACAGAATAATCTCCACCTTTAGCCTTACCAGAATATATTTTGTCCAAGGAGTAATTCATTTTAGCTGTTAAAACATTTACAGTGTATGTTGCCCATAGATGTTGCCGGTTTAGACGGCGACGCATTCCTTTCAGAAACAAACTGCTCCTGAAAACAAAATTAAATTCAGTCCATCAGTTTTGTAAACTGGTGTACAAAATGTAGCAACACAGGATGGCACCAATTTATAATTATCAGTGTTGTCACATCATGGTGCTTCAGGTAACCGGACTAATATGACGGCTTTTAAAATAAGGGTGTGTCACAAATTTCTGCAAATCTTAAAGTCTGATCTTTTTTTCTCTCATTTACTTCTCAGCTGAGCGGTTAGTTGCTATGAACAAAGACTGGCATAAAGTATGCTTCAAGTGTGCTGATTGCAAGCAAACACTGACACCAGGAAAACAAAGTGTGGTAAGAAGTCAACTCATCTAACCTCACCAATGCTATCAGACTATAACATCACCTCACTAGCTCTTAACCTCATCCAACCCTACCTCACTCAGTAAGTCAGGTGTAGTGATTGTCAGCATACCCCGACACCATGAAAAGTGTGGTAAGAAATCAACTTACTTGACCTCACCCATGCTATCAGACCATAACATCACCTCACTAGCTCTTAACCTCATCCAACCCTACCTCACTCAGTAAGTCAGGTGTAGTGATTGTGAACAAACCGTGACACCTGCGAAACAGAGTGTACAATGTACCTGTGTAAGAAATCAACTTAGTTAACCTCACCCATGCTATCAGACCATAACATCACCTCACTAGCTCTTAACCTCATCCAACCCTATCACCCAGTATGTCAGGGTTAGGGCAAAAAGAAAATGTCAATGGGAAAACAGAGTGCATTTAAACTTCACCTTTTCAACCTCACATGCCTCAGCAAACCTCACCTCTTACTCCAATTTTAAAGGATTAATTGCAAACACCCCACCAGATCTCATGTTCGTTTTTCATCATGTATAGCAAACCAGTTGAACAGAATTAATTTTTGTGCTTCAATTTCAGCATGAGAATAAACCCTACTGCAAAACGTGCTACGGACGGAACTTTGGACCAAAGGGTGAGTACGAAACCAGTTACTAATAACTATGGATAAACATTGGATTATGTTGGATGATTGGTCTGAATTATTTCCCCAATCTGAATAATGCTGCATTTCAGAAGTTTAATTTCCTGCAAAACTACCCAGATAAGGAATACAAATATTAACAGTAAACCTTATTTTGTAAGATTTATCACTGAAAACATTGTCTAATATGTAGGTCTCTCTCAAATGACGACATTTCCTACTGACCATCCATGTGCATCGGCATTTTGAGCGTCAACTTGCATAACGCGCATTTGCTGCGTTGTATTTCAAACACATTTCGAGCAACAAGCGCTTTGGAACATGTTTTACACTGCACAGTGCGTGCTTGATTGCCCAAAATACGCAGTTGCAGTTCTCCTACAGAGATGGCGGTCTTTGAGAGAGACCTATTGTACTTGAACAAGTTCAAGCAAGATTTATACAAGATGTATCTCATTAATTCTGATGTGTGGCCCATTATGAATTGAATTGCAGGCTACAGCTCTGGCAATCCATCTGCCGTCAATAGTTACGTGAGCAAGTAAGAGCGGGAACCAGTGATGAACAACAAGGGAACCAGTGCTGTATCTCAAAACCTGCGCTCCATTCTTTAATCTCTTGTACTGCGCTATAATCTCCCATGATGCACTATGATCTCCCATAATGCACTTTAATTTCCCGTAATGCACTATTGTAGATATAGACACTGCTTCAAACTGCTTAGAACGATTTGAAAAAAAAAATCAGTTTCAAAGACTAGAGATATTCATTCCATTAAAATCTTTTTCAAAGGCATTACTTTCAGCCTTTATTTTTTTATAATTTGGGAAATGATACAGCATTCCCTTGCAGTTTTGCACCCAAAAATCTTTTTGGGAGCAAACAATTTTGGAAGTTAGTTGTTTATTAGAGGACTCGGACTCGGAAGTTCTTAATTTATCGAGAAAAAACAAAACTCGTAAAATGTGAGTTGGGGTTTAATTTTCTTTGTTTTTTGGGGCTTATAGCTGCATTTTTTCCCCAAAGAACAACTTTCTAATCTTATTCTTCCATTTACGAACCCATTATACATCCAAAAGTGTTTCCAAAAGTGTTTGACCTGCACTTCTGCAAAATGCACTTCAACTGTGAACTTCATATCTTTGCTTTCGTCAATTGTTGAGCTTTTACAGTAAATCATTCCACTCATTCATTTTTCTCATTCATTGTTTTTCATGTTATTCCTAGTATGTTTTAACGTAATTGTAAGGTAGGCCAGTAAAATATTGTATTCGCTTTAAAGAGCAAAGTACTGCATGTATGTATGTACCGGTACCTGTATATATGTGTAGCTTACAATGAAGTGATTCTGAAGTTTTGAAATTCTGTGGTAAAGTGAAAAAATTGATCAAGATCCATGCCAAGTCATTTTTGATTATTACCAGAATTTTCTTAATTTTGAAAAGAGATCCCATTTTGTGATATGGATCCCATTGAGTGACATCAGACGTTAATTCCTAGCTCCTTCTTTGCGATCAAGTACTACACCCCATCATCCCTGACCAATCCACGCCCATTAATTACTGGCAATCAATTTGGCCATGGTCTTTATAGCAGGTGTTGCTATCACTCTGTGACATTCACAAGTCCATCAGGGAATTGCCTACAGGCAAATTAATATGTTTTGGCTCATGTGCCGTACATGTGTTCCCCATCAACAGCAGATCGCCTCTTGGAATAAAATTATAATTTTTAAACATAGGGACCAATTAAACCACTGTACGATTATTTCCTGATTCCAATTAGTAACAGAAACAAATTTCTCCTCTCAGGGTCTGAATCACATTTTATTTTCATGACATTTTTTGTAAAGATTATTTTTTATCTTAGGAATGCATACACCAGAGGCTGTGTTTACCAGTGAACCATGATATCACTGGCTTGTTTTATTATAATTTTTCTGTCTGGCTAATGTCTGTTGATTGATATGTGGAGCATTGGAGACCAGCCCCTGCCCGTATTGCAGAGTTTATGTAGCTCATATCATGTCGCAAAGATCAGTGGAGTGTTTCATGCTAGGGTTTCTTTTTCTATTCTCCATTTATTTTGTTTAAATTTGCTGCGGGATAGCAGCTCAACAAATCATTAAAGGGAAGATACAACATTTGCAAACACCAAAAAACCAAATGATCAAATTATCATGGAATATCTTACTGAATTGATAGGGAATGACAGTCTTAAAGCATCCTGTAAAATCATGGCTCCTGGTGTGCTGACATTTTCAAGAAAAATTGTATTTTTCCAATGCTGGTCGGCCGACCAGCGTTGGAAAAAAAATGGCTTAAGTCTCTCTGTTAGTCTGTAGTCCGTAACAAATGTGGACATTGTCTATTGTTCACCATGTTCACTACAAACACGCATTTTAACTGATTTCAACCAAACTTTGTCAAAAGTATCAATAGCCAATCCCCAACATGTTACATGACCAAACTGGGGTCAAAGGTCATCATATGCATTTGGGTCAAAAATCTGTACTAAAAAAACACTACTCCCAAAAATAAGGCACAATCACGTGACTCATGCATGAACACGAATTTGTTGGCCCGCAGCTTCCGAGATATTTCTGGTTTGAGCTTATTGGTTAGTCAGTCGAGTAGTCACTTGATTGATTTTGGTTGGTTTGGAAGATGTTTGGTCTCAAAAGTAACCAATCAAGAGACAGAATTTTCTTAAATGTCAGGAAGGTAAATGAAGAAAACTGACGAGTCCTTGTTAATCAGTCTCACATTATCTCGATGTATTCACTAATATTTTATGTGTGTATTCTAGCTAGTATTTCACTTTTGTGAAACATTACAATTGAATGAAGAATTATATAAGTGTTGAAATTATATATACTGAAATAATCATATAGATTCAAATAATTACTCTCCTGAATTTGCTTGCAATAAGCCATTCCAAATGAATAGATAAATTCTAAATTGTATTTTGCCAATATGTAATTGTTGCTGTACATTAGTGTAATCATTGTGTGTTGTTATAACTTTTAATGCATGCCATTATTTGCATTTTCACATGACCAAAGAATTGGGAAACTTTCATGGTAATTATTTCCTAATATTGAAACAGTTATACATGCAAATGTTGTTTTTTCATCTCTGAATATCTCAAATCATTCTGTCCACAAACTTTTATTTTTAATTTTCAGCAAGATCTGAAATGTTAGAGATTTTTCTTTATAAACTGACATTTTCAGTTTTGAAAAGTACTTTCATAACTCATTTTGTGGGCCGGAACAAGTTCCAATTCCTAGTTTTTGTAGTATAATTTCTAAGATTATTTTTAACTGTAAATTACTGGTTCTTGTGAACTTTCATTGAAATATATATGTTTCTTTTTTATCTGACTATTCAGTGATATTCAGTGATATAGTTTGTGAATACAATATGTAGAATTATGTATAGAAAGCTAATAATCTTGTGTCTGTGCCTTTGTTTGTTTGTTCTACCCCATTCAAATATATTATTCCTAAAACTTCATTCCCCTAAGTCGCCGAATGGACTGAAATTGTTTTCAAAATACTTTACGACAATTTCAGGTAAAATCACTCAAAATACTGAATTTCGTTTTCTCCAAAAATGGATGATTTTTGCCGCAATCTTCCATATTGTGTGTATTAGAGTATTGATTGATGTTCATCTTGCATCCAGATGAATTTCTGCCTTGTTTTGAGAAAACTCAATTTTTGGCCAATTTTGACTAAAAATGTAAGGCTAACCCCTTGCATTTTTTTCAATTTTGGCCAAAAAATGAAATTGCTTGAAAGTTGCTAGAAAGATGCCTGAAGGGCCCTAGGACACATTCCAAATCGATTTCTGGACAATTGTGTTATTAAAGGGGAAATTCCATCAACAATTTCAGGTAATATCACTCAAAAAATGTATTTCTCTTTCTCCAAAAATGGATGATTTTTGCCGCAATCTTCCAAATTGTGCGTATTAGAGTATTGATTGATGTTCATCTTGCATTCAGATGAATTTATGCCTTGTTTTGAGAAAACTCAATTTCTGGCCAATTTTGACTAAAAATGTAAGGCTAACCCCTTGCATTTTTTTTCAATTTTGGCTAAAAAATGAAATTGCTTGAAAGTTGCTAGAAAGATGCCTGAAATGCCCTAGATCACATTCCCAATTGATTTCTGGACAATTGTGTTATTAAAGGGGAAATTCCATCGACAATTTCTGGTAAAATCACTCCAGAAATGTATTTCTTTTTCTCCAAAAATGGATGATTTTTGTCCCAATCCTCCCAATTGTGCGTATTAGAGTATTGATTGATGTTCATCTTGCATCCAGATGCATTTCTGCCTTGTTTTGAGAAAACTCAATTTTTGGCCAATTTTGACTAAAAATGTAAGGCTAACCCCTTGCATTTTTTTCAATTTTGGCCAAAAAATGAAATTGCTTGAAAGTACAAAAGTAGCTAGAAAGATGCCTGAAGGGCCCTAGAACACATTCCAACTCGATTTCTGGACAATTGTGTTATTAAAGTCCGTCGACAATATTAGGGTAAAATCACTCAAAAAATGTATTTCTTTTCCTCCATAAAATGGATGATTTTTGCCCAAATCTTCCAAATTGTGTGTATTAGAGTATTGATTGATGTTCATCTTGCATCCAGATGAATTTTTGCCTTTTTTTGAGAAAACTCAATATTTGGCTAATTGTGACTAAAAATGTAAGGCTAACCCCTTGCATTTTTTTCAATTTTGACCAAAAAATGAAATTTCTTGAAAGTTACTAGAAAGATGCCTGAAGGGCCCTAGAACACATTCCAAATTGATTTCTGGACAATTGTGTTATTAAAGGGGAAATTCCATCGACAATTTCTGGTAAAATCACTCAAGAAATGTATTTCTTTTTCTCCAAAAATTAAAGATTTTGGCCCAATCCTCCCAATTGTGCGTATTATTTGATTGATGTTCATCTTGCATCCAGATGAATTTCTGCCTTGTGTTGAGAAAACTCAATTTTTGGCCAATTTTGACTAAAAATGTAAGGCTAACCCCTTGCATTTTTTTAAATTTTGGCCAAAAAATGAAATTGCTTGAAAGTTGCTAGAAAGATGCCTGAAGGGCCCTAGAACACATTCCAACTCGATTTCTGGACAATTGTGTTATTAAAGGGGAAATTCCATCGACAATTTCAGGTAAAATCACTCAAAAAATTTATTTGTTTTTCTCAAAAAATGGATGAATTTTTGCCGCAATCTTCCAAATTGTGTGTATTAGAGTATTGATTGATGTTCATCTTGCATCCAGATGAATTTCTGCCTTGTTTTGAGAAAACTCAATTTTTGGCCAATTTTGACTAAAAATGTAAGGCTTACTTACCCCTTGCATTTTTTTCAATTTTGGCCAAAACATGAAATTTCTTGAAAGTTGCTTAAAAGATGCCTGAAGGGCCCTAGAACACATTCCAACTCGATTTCTGGACAATTGTGTTATTAAAGGGGAAATTCCATCGACAATTTCAGGTAAAATCACTCAAAAAATTAATTTCTTTTTCTCAAAAAATTGATGATTTTTGTCCCAATCCTCCCAATTGTGCGTATTAGAGTATTGATTGATGTTCATCTTGCATCCAGATGCATTCCTGCCTTGTTTTGAGAAAACTCAATTTTTGGCCAATTTTGACTAAAAATGTAAGGCTAACCCCTTGCATTTTTTTCAATTTTGGCCAAAAAATGAAATTGCTTGAAAGTTGCTAGAAAGATGCCTGAAGGGCTCTAGAACACATTCCAAATTGATTTCTGGACAATTGTGTTATTAAAGTCCGTCGACAATTTCGGGTAAAATCACTCAAAAAATGTATTTCTTTTTCTCCATAAAATGGATGATTTTTGCCCAAATCTTCCAAATTGTGTGTATTAGAGTATTGATTGATGTTCATCTTGCATCCAGATGAATTTTTGCCTTTTTTTGAGAAAACTCAATATTTGGCTAATTTTGACTAAAAATGTAAGGCTAACCCCTTGCATTTTTTTCAATTTTGACCAAAAAATGAAATTTCTTGAAAGTTACTAGAGAGATGCCTGAGGGGCCCTAGAACACATTCCAAATTGATTTCTGGACAATTGTGTTATTAAAGGGGAAATCCATCGACAATTTCACGTAAAATCACTCAAAAAATTAATTTCTTTTTCTCCAAAAAATGATGATTTTTGTCCCAATCCTCCCAATTGTGCGTATTAGAGTATTGATTGATGTTCATCTTGCATTCAGATGAATTTCTGCCTTGTTTTGAGAAAACTCAATTTTTGGCCAATTTTGACTAAAAATGTAAGGCTAACCCCTTGCATTTTTTTCAATTTTGGCCAAAAAATGAAATTGCTTGAAAGTTACTAGAAAGATGCCTGAAGGGCCCTAGAACACATTCCCAATTGATTTCTGGACAATTGTGTTATTAAAGGGGAAATTCAATCGACAATTTCACGTAAAATCACTCAAAAAATTAATTTCTTTTTCTCCAAAAATTGATGATTTTTGTCCCAATCCTCACAATTGTGCGTATTAGAGTATTGATTGATGTTCATCTTGCATCCAGATGAATTTCTGCCTTGTTTTGAGAAAACTCAATTTTTGGCCAATTTTGACTAAAAATGTAAGGCTAACCCCTTGCATTTTTTTTCAATTTTGGCTAAAAAATGAAATTGCTTGAAAGATGCTAGAAAGATGCCTGAAATGCCCTAGAACACATTCCAAATTGATTTCTGGACAATTGTGTTATTAAAGGGGAAATTCCATCGACAATTTCACGTAAAATCACTCAAAAAATTTATTTGTTTTTCTCAAAAAAATGATGATTTTTGCCGCAATCTTCCAAATTGTGCGTATTAGAGTATTGATTGATGTTCATCTTGCATCCAGATGAATTGCTGCCTTGTTTTGAGAAAACTCAATTTTTGGCCAATTTTGACTAAAAATGTAAGGCTAACCCGTTGCATTTTTTTCAATTTTGGCCAAAAAATGAAATTTCTTGAAAGTTGCTAGAAAGATGCCTGAAGGGCCCTAGAACACATTCCAACTCGATTTCTGGACAATTGTGTTATTAAAGTCCGTCGACAATATTAGGGTAAAATCACTCAAAAAATGTATTTCTTTTCCTCCATAAAATGGATGATTTTTGCCCAAATCTTCCAAATTGTGTGTATTAGAGTATTGATTGATGTTCATCTTGCATCCAGATGAATTTTTGCCTTTTTTTGAGAAAACTCAATATTTGGCTAATTTTGACTAAAAATGTAAGGCTAACCCCTTGCATTTTTTTCAATTTTGACCAAAAAATGAAATTTCTTGAAAGTTACTAGAAAGATGCCTGAAGGGCCCTAGAACACATTCCAAATTGATTTCTGGACAATTGTGTTATTAAAGGGGAAATTCCATCGACAATTTCTGGTAAAATCACTCAAGAAATGTATTTCTTTTTCTCAAAAAATGGATGATTTTTGCCGCAATCTTCCAAATTGTGTGTATTAGAGTATTGATTGATGTTCATCTTGCATCCAGATGAATTTCTGCCTTGTTTTGAGAAAACTCAATTTTTGGCCAATTTTGACTAAAAATGTAAGGCTAACCCCTTGCATTTTTTTCTATTATGGCCTAAAAAATGAAATTGCTTGAAAGTTGCTAAAAAGATGCCTGAAGGGCCATAGAACACATTCCAACTCGATTTCTGGACAATTGTGTTATTAAAGGGGAAATTCCGTCGACAATTTCAGGTAAAATCACTCAAAAAATTTATTTCTTTTTCTCCAAAAATGGATGATTTTTGCCCAAATCTTCCAAATTGTGCGTATTAGAGTATTAATTGATGTTCATCTTGCATCCAGATGAATTTCTGCCTTGTTTTGAGAAAACTCAATTTTTGGCCAATTTTGACTAAAAATGTAAGGCTAACCCCTTGCATTTTTTTCTATTTTGGCCTAAAAAATGAAATTGCTT